CTAGCTTTACCTGTTTTAAGCCGTAAAAGGCAACAACTGCTTTTTGCTCTAAGGAAAAAGGGTAAATTTATCAACTCTACGCCTTTGAGGGGAGAGGGGATAAAACCTGTTAGAAAAGGTGCGGAAAAAACGGAATATCTTCCATGCATCCACTGTATGGGTTACTATTCTGCAAAGAACTTATGGCGTCATCGCAAACAATGTGATGCAAACCCGGAGAAGGGATCGTCGGGCAAACGATCACAGGCTTTAGGACAAACTCTGTTATTGGGTAATATAAAGGTAGATATTGAGCTCAAAGTAAAAGTATTTCCTCGCATGAGACCTGACAAAGTTTCATTGGTTGCGAAAAATGATAAATTAATATGTGCGTTTGCTTCCCGATATCTGAAACTCCATAGGGAGCTACATTTTGTCCAAGTCGTTTCTAGGAAAATGAGAGAATTGGCTCGACTTCTAATGGAGATAAAAAAATTAGATTTGTCTGTGGTTACCCTATTTGATGCTCTAAAACCACACAAATATGACATACTTGTGAAAGCAACTAAATTAACATCAGGATATGATGACGAAAGCCAAACTTATAAATCCCCCACATATGCTATGAACATGGGTACAACCTTAAAACAATGTTGCGATGTGGCTCTTTTACACGTTCTAAAAAAATCTAAGTCACTGCCAACAGTAGATAATGCAAACGTTGAGGCAGATATAAAAACATGCATCCAACTCATAGAGGCAAATTGGCGATTCGATATTTCAACCAATGCTGCTAATGACCTCAACCTAAAAAAATGGAATAAGGTCACTTTGGTACCGTTAGCTACTGATCTCAAACTATTGAAGGATTACCTCATGAAAGTAGCTGCAAATCAGGTATCAATGCTACAAAAAAATCCAAGCAATGAAAAAGCATACACGTCTTTACTCGAGACAGTTTATTGTAGGTTGCTTTTATTAAATAGGAGGCGGCCTGGAGAACTACAACGACTTCCCATACATGTTTACAAATCCGCTATATCTGAGGAACACAATCAAGCCTATGAGGAGTTTTCAGAAGCAATAACAGAAACCGAGAGAATTCTAATGAGATCTTTCAAACGAATAGTAATCCGTGGAAAAAGAGGCAGAGGTGTTCCAGTTCTTATAAGCAAGGATGTACAGGATCACTTGAATCTAATACTAGAGTGTAGAGATAATATTCAGACGGTGTCGAACATATATCTTTTCGGTAAACCTAACTCCCAAGAACCCATTATTGGTTACAAGGTAATCAAAAAGTATGCGTCGTTATGTCAAGCGAAAAATCCGCATGCTCTGACTAGCACCCGTCTGAGAAAGCACTTGGCAACCTTGACTCAATTGTTCAACATGTCAGAAAATGACATGGAACAACTCGCATCTTTTATGGGACATACACTAGGTATCCACCGTGCATCATACCGATTACCAGATGACGTCTACCAAACGGCTAGACTCTCCAAGATTTTGACGTTGATGGAGAAGGGCGAGGCAGGTCATTTCAAAGGAAAATCCCTGGACGAAATTAATTTGAATCTAGACGAGAATTTGATATCAGAAGCGCAGCAGGATGATAACCACCCAGAGCCTCTATGCCAATATGAAGATATCCAAGAACCGCATCCAGATCCGGAATCTCAGCAAGTGGATATAACGTTACCAAAGAAAAAGTCCAGGGTTCTAGTTCCTTGGACTGAAGATCAGAAAAATTTAGTCTTGGTTCACTTTGGAAATCACATTAAATCTAAGAGGGCCCCAAAAAAGGCTGAATGCGATAACCTCATCGCAAGTCATACTGAATTATTACATAATAAGGACTGGCTAAAAATCAAAGTTTTCATCCAGAACCAGTACCGAAAGAAAAAATGAATACCATCTCAATTTATGAGCGAACCCGTTTTTTTAATAAAGTAGAAATTAAGTATGAACATATGTATCACAAACTAAGTATAAGCATTTTTTAGTAGTTTCATTTTGTCAATGTATAAATTCAGTTTTCTTCTTATGTATTTTCGTAAATAAAATTCATACCGATATTATTTGCGTTTATCCTTCGCTCCTATAACCGCGTGGTTGTCAAAGCACAAAATGTTGAAAAATGTAGGTCATTGTCCGAAAGCGAAGTTTATGCAATTTTCTCTTCGTTTGTTGACCACTCTGCAACCACTGCAGCTAAAGCGAATTTTTTGTGATTACATTAATTCCCTGCCAATAGGCGCGGTAAGTAAAAGCATATTTTTTAAATTGTAAAACTAGGATTAGCATATTTGTTTTTATTTTATTCTATAGGAAATTGGATTTGAGCATCACCTTTATCATATTTGAGAGTGTTTTTTTGTGAACATTTTTCCTTAATACTACACCATCCTTGATTTTCTATTCATGTGGTTGTATTTGCATAATGGTCTATCTATATTACCCTTTTTAATTTAGCTTGAGTAGCTTTACGCTAAACTTTGCTCTTTGTTCATATAATCATGTATTGTACACATCGTGACCCAATATTCCATGGACGTGAGATTACTAGTTATTTTCAGACTGAGAACAAGTCGATTGCACATAAGTTATCTGTATTCGAAGGTGCTTCGTTAGGGGGCATCAAAGTTTTCTTTTAAAAACACGTTTTCCAAGATATTTCAAAAGCCGGTAGGTCGATTTTAATGAAATTTGGAACACATATGCTCTGCTCAGCGTTCTAATATTTGCCTTTTACGAAAAACTCCAGAGCTTTTTGGAAGGGTGAAAACTACCCCCACACCTACATAAATTGTAGCAGAATTTTTCCCAACTTTCCTCATGACCGATTTTTTTATTTATTCCATCCTTTGTCTCTCATTAAAACGAGATATCTTTCATAGTTTTCGAGAAAAAAAAACCTTTTTTGGGGCTGGTTTCTAAAAAAATGTTTTAACACATCAAGCGTAAAAATCTAGTTGGCAAATAAACGAAGCACTTTTGCATAGAGGTGACTTATGTCAAATCGACTTGTTATGAGTCTAAAACCTGATTGGAAAAACATTTTTTTCCGAAAACTAGTAATAATAATCGTAATCATAATCATAATCACAACCATAATCGTAATCATAATTATATTAATAATGATAGTAATCGAACAAATATATTATTGCTGCATTACGGTACTCTCGGTCACGGACGCCCCTATTATAATGCCTGACGGCGAACTGGGCCGCACCAGACATAGAAAGGTGAAAAGCCGATCCTCTAACACAGCAAATATAATAAAATACCTAATACAGCGATGCCAATATTAAGGAGGATCTAAAAGCGATAATCTGGATACTGAATACCCGGCAGATGACCGATCCACTGTAGACCTGACTGGTAATATTTGATAATATACGGGCTGAATACCCAAGCGATCGTGAGTCCACCAAATCGGCGCGGCAAAACCCTGAACTACGGTACCCAAATTCGGCGAAAAACATGATCTAGGTCATCCCTCTGAAATTTTGCCAGGTGACAGAGGGGGGCCTGAGGGGCCGATAGGTGGAATTTGCGATAGGTCCTCCTTATACGGAGGACCTATCAGAGCGGAGGACCTATCGACTCTAAAAAGCCCATGAGTGGAGGACCGATCCATCAGAATCTACATATATATATATATATATATATATATATATATATATATATATATATATATGTATCATCAGCAAATAGTTGAATTTTGCAGTGTTTTAAAATATCAGGAATATCGTTAATATATAAAATGAATAGTAATGGACCTAATTTGCTACCCTGTGGCACACCTACCGAAATGTTTTTAATGTTTGATAATGTATTGCCAATTTCAGTTCTTTGACTTCTATTGATTAAATAATTTTGCGATAAGTTGAATACTGAACGTTGAAATCCATAACAATGCAATTTCGTTAACAATTTCTCCCTGTCAATAGTCTCAAATGCTCTCTTGAAATCTAAGAACAATGTTACTGTAAACTTTTTTTCATCCATATTTCGTCTCCATTCTTCTACTACCACTTGAATTGCTGTTTCAGTAGAATATTTTTTTCTGAATCCTGCTTGAAATGTTGTCAATATCTTATTTTCTTCAACATATTCAATGACTTGTTCATATAACATATGATTCCTTCTAAGAGCTTCTCGACATCTGGCAGTACATTAATTGGCCGCATGTTTGTATATAACTCAGAATTTTACACTTTTGGAACAGGAGTAATTGTAGGACATTTTAATTTTGAAGGAAATTCGCCATACACTAAGCAGTGATTCACTAACAATAATAACTTCTCTCCAATAATGTTGAAATATTCCTACATAACCATTTTTGAAAGATGTTCTCTAGGATTTCTATTCGATTTCAGTCTTATAATAGCTTTTGAAAGATGGCTGATATTTATTGTTTGGGATTGTCTAATAGAAAGATTTAGATCCCCATCTTCGATTGATTCCACTACCTCATTTATACTTTCTATAAAATAAGCGTTCATTCGTTCTGCAATCAATATTTTTTGTGTTACTATACCATCTTCGAAGCACATTCTTCATAATTCATTCTTCCTACTGTGTCTTCCACAACATTTTACTGTTATTTTTATTGCTATCGATTTTGTTTTCATAATATTTTTACTTTTCGTTCCAAAAATATGTTAAAAACTTGTTTCTTGATTTCTTATATCGTATCCAATCTTCCTCAGTTTGAGTGATCATAAACTTTCTATAGTCATTATCACGCGTCAATTTAGATTCTAGAAATATTTGTGAAAACCAGAGTGTTGGCTTTTTCCTTTGATATACCACTTTCCTAATTTGTGCGTCTCTCATGCAGTTCTCCATTCAATCCGTAATTTTTGAGAAGGAAGTGACATTGGCTTGTAAGACTGACTGAAAATTTATGAAACATCTTGCTTTCATCAACAAATGAATATTTACAAATATTTTCATATTTATATTTTGTCACCCCAAATAACGCATCGTATCTTTTACCCTCCATTTTCCAGCCTGCTGAGAAATCCGACCAAATTTGCTGTGACAACGACACCATGAAAAATAAATATTCCGCGTTAAAATTGAAATTCCTGAAAATGAAAACTGAGCAGATGAAAGCGTGCGAGATTATCAAAAGCATGATCAAAGCTAGAGACAGATCAAATGAGGAAATTGCAACGCTGAAGAATAGCGTCAAAGGTAAGATTGCACCGTATTTCTGAAATTTACACAACCCTTAGTCAAAATTTGTCGATTTAAAGAATTCTACGAGTATCATTTTTTAAGTAAGAGACTTTGTTTATGAATGAAAATTGTATCTCAAATATATGAACATATTTTTCATTTTTCAACGTGGTCACAGTAAACGTTAGTAACTATTTCTTTCAGGCACGTGCTGATTTTTTTTTTTTCGTTTTATAGTACACATTGACTTGACATTTATTTGTTGCGTGTATGTAGAAATATATTTTACTTGGATTCTTTTTTCCGAAATCAGCTCTATCGTTATCTAAAAACCTTTTTATAAATAATTCACCCTGTCAAAAGATTAATTTGTGACTTAGAAAACATCAATTACGAGGGTTGATCCAGAATTATGGTTCCTATCAATTTTAGAAATATAAAACATTGTTTATTCTTATAGAAATTTGCAATATTGGAAAGATGAAACTTCACTCTATTTTCCTACATAGTCGTTTTTTTCTACGCATTTTTGTAGACGGTATTCCAATGTTTGCCTACCAATGTCGTCAAGCCGTTAGGAATCGTTTTACTTTGTTCCTTTAACAGTATTAAAAATTAGCAATATTATTAAAGTTGCAATAACACTCTTTCCTAAAAAAATGTTTAATTTTTTGTTTTCCAAGTTTTCCAGTGACATGCAATAAAGTTTTTTTTCTCGAAAACGAGAGATGAGAAAACAATTCAAGAGGCAAATAAGTTGTATTTTTAGATGCTTAATCAAACAACAAATATTAAAGATACAAAAAAGGCGGTGGCGTACATTTTTTTGCCAATAATATTAGCTAAGGTGCCCCCCGGGACGCTACTGGACCTAATAATTTTAATCTATTTAAGGCTAAATTAGCTTCTTAATACAACAAATAATATTGCAAAATTTCAACAGAATCGAGAAAATATTTTTCAATATATCATTTTTTTTAAATTTAACTTTTTTCATATTTTCAAGGAATCGCCTTTTAAAATACCTCCGTATATTTTTCGAACACCCTCTATGTTTAAAGTCGATGCGAACCTTACCTCTAAATCAACCCTCGTATATACTTATAAATATATAGATATATAGCGAATCTTCTTATAACTGTCACTGCTTTTTCTTCTCATTGAAAACACAACATCGTATTAACTTTTAACTAACACTAACTACTCTTCGCTCAACCTTCTGAAGAATTAGAACGACAACTAGAGTCCGTCGTGTCCAAACCACTGTGCGAAAGAGAGATCGTGAAGGCAGGAAACCACGTTGTTGTAACGAAGGAAGAAAATGATGCAGCTCAACTAGAACATGGGGTAGGATATAAACATACTATGAGAAAAAGACACCGCTAATTTTCCGGACACTATTCATTGTTGACAGATATATTGATTTGTTGAAGAAGCTATAACTAACTTTTGATTTGAGTCTAGTTAAAAACTCGTGTAGTTCAGATGCTTAAAGCAACACCAGTATTTTCCTGGTTGTTGATATTTAGCCTAATTTTTTTTAAGCAAATAATATGGATGTTTTATGATTTTAGTCTTCAATCACGGTCAGCGAATAGTGTCTTACATTTTTTTAGGCATGCATGCTTGTTCGAAACATAAGCTTTCAGATAAACCGCACTTAACTGCTTCTTATTAATAGCCTGGTTGCTTTTAAATGTGAATAGATGTATTGTTAGAATGCTTTGTTTTATATTTTTGAGATTTATTAAATATTGCCTTATACTGTCGTGTTATTTGATTTCAGTACACAATGCTAAACTGAGTTTTCAATTATTTTCATACTTTATTCTTGGAAAAATAACGAATCTTTCGCGGGATAAGGAAGATTCATCATACAGGGTGTCATTTTAATCTTCCTATCGAAATATTTCGCAAACTGCGCATTCTAGAAAAAAATTTCAAACCAAAGTTGAGATTCGAGGGGGCAAAATGATGGTGACCTTGACAATGACCTTGACAACTGTTGTCATTCCAAGGTCAAGTATGTTTAAATGGAATCCACCTTTTCCCACCTCGGCATTGAAAAAATGACATCGTACGTCCGACCATGACCATGACCTTTGAGGCCATTTCAAGGTCAAACCATCTAAAGCATAGCAAAATCGTTCGACAGCACAGTTGTAAGGTTTATGAGGACACCCAAAGTTGACCTTAATCATGCCATTCAAGGTCAAAGGCAACCTCTCATTTTCGTACTGAAAATGAAAATAAATAGCAGGAAGTAATGTAACCTTGACTTCAAATGATCTACGTTAACACGACCGTGTCTTTAAGGTCAAGGTCACATTCGAACGTAAAATATCTTGCTTCTTCCATTTTCAGTGTAAAATGTGAGATTTCCTTAATAAATGTTGTCTTGACCTTGAAGGTCATTGTCAAGGGCACATTTGGGTAATCCCATATACTTCACAACTGTGATGTACAACGTTTTTGCTAGAGCAAATTGCTTTCATTGTCTTGATCGGACGTTGAAATGGCTTTGAAGGAAATAGTCAAGGTCGCTGTAATCGTAATATTCGGAAAGAAAATTTCCTCTTCTTTTCAATTTCGAAGGGCGATTTTATCATAAATTGTCAACTTGACCTTGAAATTACCTTCAAGGTCGTAGTCAAGGTCGGCTTCATTTTATTCCCCAACCATACAAGTTATGAGTTTTAGGATGCGTGGTCTTTATATTTAAGATTTATTAAATACTGTCTTATACTATCATCGTGTTATTTGAATTCAATTCACAATGTTCAAACTGAGTTTTCAATTATTTTCATCCTTTATTCTTGGAAAAATGACAAATCTTCCGCGGGATAAGGCAGATTTATCATAAAGGGTGTCATTTAAATCTTCCTATCGCAATATTTCCAAAACTGCGCTTCCTATAATGAATAGTTTCAAACAAAAGTTGTGGAAACTCGAGGGACAAAATTATGGTGACCTTGACAATGACCTTGACCACGACATTAAAGGTATTTCAAGGTCAAGTAAGTATGATCAAATGGAACCCCCGTTTTTCCCACATCGGCATCGAAAAAAGGACATCTTACGTCCGAATATCACTTTGGCCATGACCTTCAAGGCCACTTCAAGGTCAAATCAAATCGCAAATAATTTCGCTTAGCAAAAATGTTCGACTGCACAGTTGTAAGGTTTGTAAGGTGACCTTAATCATGACATGCAAGGTCAAGTCGTAATTTTCGAAGGAAACTTCTCATTCTTGTACTGAAAATGAAAATAGCACGAAATTTTACTTTCCAATGTGACCTTGACTTTGATGTCAAGGTCCTGTCAAGTGATAAGGAAGATTGATCACACAGGGTGTCTCATTTTAATCTCTTTACCGAAATATTTCGAAAACTGCGCATTCTGGAATACAAGTTTCAAACAAAAGTTGTAGAGATGACTTTGACCGCAACATTTGTCATTTCAGGGTCAATTATATTCAAATGGCATCCCCCTTGTTCCACATCGGCATTGAAAAAATGACATCTTACGTCCGACCATGACCATAACCTTCGAGGCCATTTCAATGTCAAATCATCGAAAATAATGTTCTATAGCAAAAATGTTAGACAGCACAGTTGTAAGGATTGTGAGGACACCAAAAGGTGACCTTAACATGACATTCAAATTCAAATTAAAATTTAAAAGGTAACCTCTCATTCTTGTACTGAAAATGAAAATAGCAGGAAGTTTTAGGCCCGAATGTGACCTTGACCCCAAATGACATTCAACCTTGTCACAACCTTGACTTTGACGTCAAGGTCATATTCGTGCGTAAAATGTCCTTTTTCCATTTCGGTGTAAAAATATGAGATTTCCTTCAGAAATGTTGGCATGACCTTGAGGGTCATGGTCAAGGGCACATTTGGATAATCCCACAGACCTCACAACTGTGATGTCGAATATTTTTGCTAGAACAAATTGTTTTCATTGTGTTGATCTTGAAATGGCCTTGAAGGAAGGTCATGGCGGTCGTAATATCTTCAATTTCAAAGTAAAAAATGTCAAGTTGACCTTAAGATGACCTTAAAGGTCGTGGTCAAAGTCATTGTCAAGGTCAGCTTCATTTTGCTCCCTCCGAACTATACAAGTTTTGCGTGAAACAACTTATTTATATCTGTAGTTTGAAACATCGTTTCCGGTTTGAAAGCATTCACGATACGCCATGAGAAGTCAATAATTATTAACACAAGCATCTGGAATTTATAACAGGAAACATTCATCCACCCGACAAGAAAGTAAATTTTCTCCAATGTCATTCCCGAATTCCGATCCCCACATATTTCTCTTATTTATAAATGTGTATTTTTAGATTTTAAACTTCTTGTAGTAAACAAATTTGACGGACGCAAAATGATGAAAATATACTCACGAAGCTATCAAGAAAATAGTGACGCACATTGAAGTTTAAACCTAGCACTCTTGTTTGCATTGACATCCAGTTATGCGATATCAAAGTATTAAAAAGTGGCACGAATTGTTGGCCTTTTGAAGAAGGTGACTTGCACTTTTGAGCAAAACGTTGTTCCAAAACATTTAGTGCCGTTCGAATCAACCTATTCGCGCTATTGCCCTAAATATTCCGGATAACAAATTTCAAAATCTTTGCTGCTTTATTTGATCCAATGTATGTATGAACGCGGCCTATTTCATGGTGACTATAAAAACGACAAACGCATACCGCTTCCTACCAAACGAAATGCATCCATCTGTTCCACATACAGAATCAAAAATAAACAGCAAGTGCAACACAGTCTGGCTTTTTAGATATTCGGGGTGGAAGGACCTAGTAAAATTAAACACGCCAGCTAGACAAAGAGCTACTACATACGGCGCGGATAAATTTGACCAGTGGCGGCCGCAGAAATGGTTTGACAGAAAAAAGATGAGTCCAATTCGCCGAGAGCGAAGTGCATTGTGGGGAACCATATTTTTGTAACAACCCTCGTACAAAATGTCAATAAAACCCACATAATGTTATAAAAAAAATGATATAATGTCACTGTTTCCGAAACATGGGTCAATGATTCAAAGAGTGATTCTTTGGTCCATTCTAATATACTAAGTGACATATAAATCCGAACACCCAGTTTAAATGGTTTTATTTTAATAAAATTTTGTATAAGTAGTTAATGAAGCATAATAAGTAAATGATAAAAATTTACAAAATGATTGCACTGCTTTAAAGCTCTTTGACCTTTAATAATGTGTGGATGCACCCTGATGTGCTACGCATTCTCCAACGCGCCTAGGCATGCTTCTGATCAGGTGGTCAATGTCCTCCTGTGGTATCTCATTCCAGGCAACCACCAACTCCTCTCGAAGTGCTTCTAGAGTCTGAGGAGGACGTTGCAAATTGAGCAATCTCCTACCCATCATATCCCACACGTGCTCAATTGGGGATAAGTCGGGAGATCTTGGTGGCCATGGTAACAATGTGACATCATTATGTTGAAAGAAGTCTATTGTGACTCTTGCAACATGTGGTCGGGCATTATCTTGTTGGAAAGTTGGATCTGCCAGGGTGTCAAGATAGGGTAAAAGATGGGGTTCTAGAACTTCGTGGATATAACGCTGCGCATGTTACCTCTGATGAAGATTAAAGGTGACCTAGAACCATAAGCTATAGCACCCCAAACCATAACTCCAACAGTGTGATGAACATGTCTTTCAACAAAAAACTGTGGATTCCTCCTTTCACCACGTCGCCTTCTAACCCTGGCACGACCATCGTGCATGCCTAAACAAAATCGAGACTCGTCACTAAAGACAATACTGTTCCATTCCTGATCCCAGAGTGACCGTTGTCTGCACCACTCAAGGCGATTACGTCGGTGTTCTCGAGTTAAAGGGAGGACCCAGTGTGGCCGGTATGAAAACAAGCCAAAACTTCTCATTCGTCGGTAAACACTTCGCATGCCAATAGATCTTCCGTGTTCTGCAAACCATTCATTTGCAATGGACCTGGTAGTGGAGAAACGGTCCCTTAAGGCCAATAATCTTAGGCGGCGATCTTCACGGTCTGTTGTTCTACGGCGGCGTCCAGTGCCCCTTGCTCTTTGCGTACGGCCTTCTCGAAGCCATGCCTGACAACACCTAACCACAGTGTCTACACTTCGTTGCACTCTAACTGCAATTGCCCGAAAAGAAAGTCCAGCTTCCCGAAGTCCCACTATACGGCCCCTATCGAACTCACTAAGTTGACGAAATCGTACAGGTCTCCGTACTCTAGGCATCGTAACCGATCGTAAAAGATGTCATGAACCAAAATTCCCCAACGTTGATTCTTTACTGCGGCTGAAATATTCATTTTTAGAGCGTTAGTGAATTGAAAAAAAGCAGTATAAAAACCGGAATGTCCAACTGATAAGCCTGAAAATTTTTTCACTTGTTATTTACAGTAAGATAAATACACCCACCAACTTTTATTAAAATAAAACCATTTAAACTGGGTGTTCGGATTTATATGTCACTTAGTATACTCTACAGCGTGTTACAAAATGTTGTCAGCAAATATGAAAAATAGATCGTCTTACCTCGAGGGAAAAATTGTATCCCACGGGTTTTTGCAAAAGTAATTGTCATTTTCTTGCAGCTTCATTGGTTCTGCTTGAAAACTGTCTGTTATTCGTTAAAAAAGTCCCTAGTCTAGTTATTATGTTTTAATAATGGTTAATAGATTGATGTACTGATCAATAATAATTTTTATGTTTAATACAGAGCGCCTGAATGAAGAACTATCAGAGGCAGCTTTTAAATAGAATCAATCCAGCTTCAAGGTAGTAAAAAATATTCAGAGATAGTTTTTAAGTAAAATCAATCTGATTTAAAAGTACTAATAATATTTTTTTTCAAAAATCACTTCCGTACTTTGTCGCTAAACAAAAAAAAAAACATAGAAAATTGCCGGAACCATTGCTATTGATGTTAGTGTTTTAGGAAACAATTTCATGCGCATTGTGACATTTGTGCGTACTAAAAATCATCTCGATATCTCATCCTGTTTTCGAAAAAAAAAACTGGACCATTTTAATCATCCTGTATTATAGGAATGAGGAACTTCTTAACTCATGTTTATGTGAACCTTTTTTGTTTGAATATGCATTAAAACACCCGGTACAAATCTCGAAAGAGTCACGGCCCTTTCTGCTGCCTCTCCCTGCGGCGCCTATGGATCTGTCTGAAAAAGAGAACATGGCCGTAGATATTTTTAGACACATAGTAAGTTCATTTCGGTCGGGGATCTCAAGTCGCGCGGTCGAATATCCTAATTCTTGTGTTAAGAAGATTGTTTTTTACTCTGTAAAAGATAGCAATCTATCTTGTTGTGGGAAACGAGCAGGTTTCTTTAGCCCTAAAGATGTGCTAGGAAGATGCTTTGTACTTGCGGGTATTGCCACTAGGTAAGGGATATTTTCAGAAATACACAAACAGTTGCATAAAGGATGAGACCTTTGTAAAATGCCAGAAAATATCCATACAAACTCGTAAAGAGTGCTAATGCTTGGTATAATTTGCTTTTAGTTGAATAGCTGCTTTGAAATGCTTGTTTCTCAATGTTGCAAACTTCTTCAACTTGATGCATGTGCTTGAAAATGTGTTGTGTGCTTGATAAAATCACCTGCTTGGCAAGCTTAAAACTAAGTATCATTTGAATATGTACAGACCGTCGTAAAAAAAATCGTAACACTTTGTATCTTTGATAGAAATCGGACAGCAACCCAGACAATATGGACGTTGTAGAACAATATAGAATCTTGACAGACGAGCTAGAAAAGAAGATAGAGGTGAGCCTTCATTTTTTAATCAACAAATAAGAATTTATATTTTATCCTCCAACCCATTGATTATCGTCAACTCCTACAATTGTAAGACGCCTTTATGGCCGCCTATTGCACAACAAAAATGCTTTCTGCTCAAAAGGGAAACAACTTAATATGCAAAAATAGTTTTAACTAAAAAACCAAAAAAGGCGCAATACATACATATACTAAGTGACATATAAATCCGAACACCCAGTTTAAATGGTTTTATTTTAATAAAATTTTGTATAAGTACTTAACGAAGCATAATAAGTGAATGATAAAAATTTCAAAATGATTGCACTGCTTTAAAGCCCTTTGACCTTTAATAATGTGTGGATGCACCCTGATGTGTTACGCATTCTCCAACGCGCCTAGGCATGCTTCTGATCAGGTGATCAATGTCCTCCTGTGGTATCTCATTCCAGGCAACCACCAACTCCTCTCGAAGTGCTTCTAGAGTCTGAGGAGGACGTTGCAAATTGAGCAATCTTCTACCCATCATATCCCACAGGTGCTCAATTGGGGATAAGTCGGGAGATCTTGGTGGCCATGGTAACAATGTGACATCATTATGTTGAAAGAAGTCTATTGTGACTCTTGCAAAATGTGGTCGGGCATTATCTTGTTGGAAAGTTGGATCTGCCAGGGTGTCAAGATAGGCTAAAAGATGGGGTTCTAGAACTTCGTGGATATCATTTTATCTCTGATGAAGATTAAAGGTGACCTGGAACCATAAACTATAGCACCCCAAACCATAACTCCAACAGTGTGATGAACATGTCTTTCAACAAAAAACTGTGGATTCCTCCTTTCACCACGTCGCCTTCTAACCCTGGCACGACCATCGTGCATGCCTAAACAAAATCGAGACTCGTCACTAAAGACAATACTGTTCCATTCCTGATCCCAGAGTGACCGTTGTCTGCACCACTCAAGGCGATTACGTCGGTGTTCTCGAGTTAAAGGGAGGACCCAGTGTGGCCGGTATGAAAACAAGCCAAAACTTCTCATTCGTCAGTAAACACTTCGCATGCCAATAGGTCTTCCGTGTTCTGCAAACCATTAATTTGCAATGGACCTGGTAGTGGAGAAACGGTCCCTTGAGGCCAATAATCTTAGGCGGCGATCTTCACGGCGGCGTCCAGTGCCCCTTGCTCTTTGCGTACGGCTTTCTCGAAGCCATGCCTGACAACACCTAACCACAGTGTCTACACTTCTTTGCACCCTAACTGCAATTGCCCGAAAAGAAAGTCCAGCTTCCCGAAGTCCCACTATACGGCCCCTATGAAACTCACTAAGTTGACGAAATCGTACAGGTCTCCGTACTCTAGGCATCGTAACCGATCGTAAAGGATGTCAAGAACCAAAATCCGCCAACGTTGATTCTTTACTGCGGCTGAAATATTCATTTTTAGAGCGTTAGTGAATTAAAAAAAAGCAGTATAAAAACCGGAATGTCCAACTGATAAGGCTGAACATTTTTTCACTTGTTATTTACAGTAAGATAAATACATTCACCAACTTTTATTAAAATAAAACCATTTAAACTGGGTGTTCGGATTTATATGTCACTTAGTATATATTTTGCTAATTAACTATTTCATTGGCTTTTTTGTTCATAGTCACACATTTCGATATCAAAATAAACAAATACCCTAGCCTGGTTCTGGACTTTTAACTTTGTTATCATGTAAAATTTCAACATTATCGGTTCAATATGATATTAAAGATTTGGCGTGTTTAGATAAATCTGAATATTCGTAAAAACTGAATTTATTTTCAGATATGAAAAGATCTTTACCCATACTACCTACCATTTCACTATGTTTGTATAAGTACGAGACATTAATTCATTCCAATTTTATACATCCAAAACTCTAATCACTTTTAAATGTGTTATAATTTATTTTCTGCCTCAAAATTCTCATATCTGTTTCTCGATCATCACAAAAAATATCCAAACTCTACTCTCAAATCACTATACTAAAGCTAACCGATTAAGGCCTGTTGATCTTTGCAATACATTGTTTGCCGGATGTTGATGTTATTTTTTATATTGTTATTGTGACGAAATCACTGTCCTTTCCAGGTCTTGGTAGCTATAATGAAGGAAAAAGACGCAAAAATGGCAAGAATGCGAGAAGACCACCAGGAAATCCTTACCAGCTTAGAAGATAAAGAAATCCGCATAGTAGATCTTGAATTCGAACTTTTATCTTCAAAACCAGATAACGTCTCAGATAACGTGTCAATTTCAGAAAAAGCTGACACCAGCACGGAAAAACATAGCAGCTTTTACAGGCAAGAGCTTGAAGAAAAAGATAAGGAAATCGAACGGCTATCCGAGGAGCTCAGAAAATGCACCTGCTACTTGCAAGAAATTGTCAACAAAGAGCTGTGGGAGAAAAATAAGGAAATCGAGAAGCTGCATAGCAGACAAGCGAATTCTCCCGAAGTTCAAAAACTCAAAAAAGATCTGCACGGCAAGGAAATGCAGCTGAAGTTGCTGAAAGAGAAGATATCCGAGTTGGGATTGGACATTGGAATTCCTAGCGAGGATTTGAAGGATGTTGCCTCTCCAACAAAACAATTCAGCCACATAAAGAGTCTTCAAGAACAGCTGAAGGCTGCTAAAGAAGAAAGAGACTATTTCAAGTCAAAGTTCGACGAACTCGAAGATCAAAACCAGACCGAAATAATAAAATCACTCCAAGAAGACTTGCAGAAGTCCGAAAACCTACGTAGAGATTCCAACGAACTGTGCTCACTGCTGAACGCTAGGCTCGAAGAACTGGCAGCATTTTTGGATTCATTGCTGAGGCAAAAGTCAATTTTAGGCTTCCTTGGTATTCACAAAGAGAAGAAACTACGGGAAATCATCAGCACCAGCTTGGATCTGTCCAAATCCTTCTCTAGTTTCATATACAACCCCGACCAAAGCTTAGCTCAACTTTCTAACATAACCTGTCTGCTCAACGCGTCTGCCTTCCAGGAGTTGAGCATCGATAAACCTCAGGAAGGCGATAGTCTGAATGAAAGCACGATTAACTATAGTATTAACCCAGCTAATGTTACTTTAACCTATTCCAGTCAATTGTGCAAAGCCAACACAAATTCAGACCCCGATACAGAGGCCCTCGTGTCCGCCTTGAGACAGCAGATTGTCAACTTGCAATCAGAGCTGAAACTCAGGGATAACGAACTTAACAAGTTGAATCACACGTGCGTCAAGCTTAGCGACAAGACCACTGAGACTGAAAATGAGATTTCGACCTTCAATTTTTCGAAATTGTTCACCAGCCCTTCGAAATCCACTTCGACGACGCTCAAAAGGCGGAACACGGGGGATCAATGCACCTCGTGTCAGTCGGAATCCGAATCGTGGTCGGAGCCTGACAGGACCATTTCTAAAGCCAGAATCGGTCTCAATAACTTGGCGCGCAAGGAGAAGCATTACATGAGCGAGTCTACGGAAGAAGACGAATGCATAGTGACGCCGCCTGCCAAAAACAAAGATCAACTTTTGGAGGAAATCAGACAGAAGTCGCAGCGAGTGCAAGAGCTGGAAGAAAAAGTGAAGAACGCCCAGCTCGTCCAGGAAAACCTGGAAGCGACAATCGCGACCTTAGAAAATCAACTGCGACAAGCCGAACAAACTAACGCAACGCGCGAGAAAACAATCGAAGAACTTTATAAGAAGATCGAAGATCTTTCAACGACTAAGCAGCTTCTGGAAGAGTCGTCTTTGAAGAAGGATAAAGAACTGCAGGATCTGATTAACCAGTTGCAGGTTGAAAAGGACGAAACTCAGAAGCTAGTGTCGAAAGAAGTTCAAAGCGTCATGGATCAGTTACGGAAAGAATACGAGCAGTACGCTATCGAGAAACTAAAAGACGCCGAAGGCCAGTTTCTGGTAAAGTTGAAACAAATGGAAGACGAGGCGGAAAAAGACTTCCTGAGGAAGCTCGAGGAAGTCGAAGACGGAGCTAACCGAATGGTAAACGATATCAAAGAACAGTACGGCAGGGACTACGTGAAGAAGAGCGACGTCGAGGCCAAATTGAAAGAGTTGGACGCTATAGTCAGCGAATTGGACGAGTTGAAAGGTATCGTCAAGAAGTACGGGGATACCATTGAGGCGTACAAAGCTAAGGAAAGCGAGATGGGTACGAGGATGGCGGAAAATCAAGACAAAATTCACGCGTTGAGGAAGGAGTTGGATGATACCACGCTCAAGTACTCGGAAGCGGTGCTCGAGAAAACTCATGTGGCTAACGAGAAGACGGCCTTAGAAAAAGAACTGCAGAGGTATGTAAAGCTATTGATTAGATTTTTTTCCATGGTGGCCAGGCTTTTTATTGTAACTTTGTTAAATTCAGTACGTCGAGAATTGGCCAGTAGGACCACTTATTTCTTCTCAGAGTGCCAAAATTGTGGAACAACTTGGCTAAGGTTCTCGCAGTTGTGGCAACACATTATTATTTTATATATAGCAGATATAAACAGGGTAGTACAATTTTATAGCATTCAGTGTTTTGCTGAGGCCTCACAATTACAGTAATGGACAAAAGTATATAGACAAATATGAATATTTACCTAAATACCTTTAGAAAACGAATTCGTAGTTCATTGCTCCATAAACAAATGCGTTATTAGTAGAAAAACTAAATTCCTTGTTTTTACATAATCTGCAATGAACACAATACAAGTCTAAATATAAGCACTTTTTTATGAGGGACAAAAATATGTAGACAAATTCTTTTCAACATTAGTTTAGTACAGTTTCGTGCCAGAAGAGGATTAGTTTGTGTTCATCAAGTATTGCGGAATAAGTGGAGTGATTTTAAGACCATGCCGCGTGGTCCAGAAATTTCTTTCGATGTGAAAACAAGTCGACATTGGCAAACATTTGAAGCTGAAGCGTAAAGCAGTTTGGGCAATATTGCACAAATATAAACAAAAAGGTATCTTGGAAGCCTCTAAGAGCGTTCGGCCTAGAAAACTAAATGCTAGATCAGTTAAATTAATAAAAGTAATTTCGTCCAAAGATCCGTTTAAAACCAAGACAAATAAAAGCCGAAATCGAGACAAAAGGAATTGCCAGTGTTTCTCCGAAAACTATAAGTAGAAGATTAAATGATTTGAAGTTATTTGTAAGAAGCCGCTAATCTCGAGGGAAAACCGTAAGGACCGATTACAATTTGCACATGTTTGGATCAGATGGTGTTCATTACGTTAGACATCCTAGTGGACAAAGATTGAACCCCAAGTACACTTTGCCCACTGTCAAACATGGAAGCGGGTCTGTTATGGTTTGGGAGTGCTTTTCGGGGTTTGGGATGGGACCTTTACATAGAATAAATGACATTATGGAGAAGTTTGCATACACAGACATACTAAAGCATGTCATGTTACCCTATGTGCCCTTAAGATCAATCTTCCAGCAAGATAATGACCAGAATCACACTTCAAATCTCGCAAAGAAATTCTTTCTGGATGGAAAAATACCAGTTCTCAAATGGCCTTCACAGTCTCCCGATGGAAACCCCATTGAAAATCTATGGGAATACTTAGATAAGCAAATACGACGTAAAAATTATTGAAGCAAGGATGAACTTTTTGCCGCTTTAGAGCAAAAGTGGAGACAGATTGATGAATCTTATATCAAGAAACTTCTACAATCTATGCCGAGACGATGCCAGGCGATGATTGATAATAATGGTTATGCTACAAAATATTAACACAAACATGGTTGGTTTTTTATAATTCAATGAACTTTGCTTCTTTTTTCTATAATTGTTTTGCCTTGTCTATATATTCTTGTCCTTCATAGTTCCAGTATTTTTCAATTAATTTTTTATTGAAGGGAGTCTAATGAATTTATTTATGTATAAGTGAGTATTATCCTATAACGAATTATGTATACAAGTTGGTGTATTAATAAAACAAGTTAAAAAAGAAATACAGCACAATATTAGTTTGTCTATATACTTTTGTCTATTACTGTATATCATAGTTTCAGATTTAGAAATTACGGAAGCAAAAATAATAGAGAACCTAAATTCTATTGAAAATTATGCAACAGAATGTAGTCTCCAGTTGAATCCCTCTAAATCCAAAGTTATTAATTTTTCTCTTAAATATCTAAGGTCCCTTATTCAGATAGAAGAATCAGTTAAAAACTTAGGTTTTTTATGGATGAAAATCTCAAATTTATTTCTCATGTAAATAATATAACTAAAAATGGTTTAACTGTTTTACAGCATCTGTACTTAAATAAAGAAATACTTGATTTTAGATTCCAAAAAAATTTATGTCAATCTTTAATAACATCAAAAATCGCATATTGTTATTTAGTATACTATCCATTTCTAGATTCACTTTCAGCTAAACATCTACAAAAAATTCAAAATTGATGTATATTGATTTTCAACTTGAGAAATTATGATCATATTCATGAAAAAAAACTACTGTAGCCCAACCATTATGAACATACGAGGTTTATCCGAAAAGTACGTTTAAAAGTGGAATAATAACTTTATTTTACAATTGTTCAGGTACTTCAATATGGTCTCCTTCAAAGTATTCCCCCTGCGACAAGATGCACTTCTGCCAACGCCGTTTCCACTATCGATACGATCGCAAAATATTGCCCATTAAAAGACTCCATAAGAGACACAGCTGTTTCAAAACGTGAATCAATAACTTCGAAATATCCCTTTCATAACTACTATTGCATTTTTTAATATTAGTACCAGTTGCGATGTTATTACAAATGCGCAATTCACGATTCTTCTCTATTTGCAGGTATCAAGCGAAAGACGCAGAGTTTAAACAACAGATGGAAAATCTCCGTTCCGAATTCGAAAATGTGAATCAGAACTTGCAACAGCAAGTGTGCCAGTTGCAGGCGCAAAAGTCGAAATTGGAAGTGAAAATTAGCGAATTGGAAAATGTCAACGCCGAAATGAAGAATAAATTGGTGAGTGTACTTGAGAAAAAATGGCATCAAGTAGGCTGACTCTGACTTCACTATTTCTGTCTGCAAATTAAGCTATCAACCGCCTAGTGAAATGTATTCGTGTATTATGTTGTTGGAATATGTGATCTCTTATATTATTGTTGTTAAAAACGGCATTACGATTGCTTCGAGGTATTTTGCGCTGTTTAAAAAACAAGGTTCCCAATGCTGTGTTTGTCGGCTGACAACCACGATTAACTACATGTATGGCTGACATTATTAAATTTGTTCACTCTAATACCAGATCAATTCTTCCTTCAATGGCGGACCTTTCTTTCATGGTTAATGATATGGATCTCGATGTAGTGGCTGTTACAGAAACATGGCTGTCTTCAGATATTCCAACAAGTTCAGTAGATATTTCTGGTTATAACTTCCATCGTCGTGATCGTGGTAGTCGCGGAGGTGAGGTTGGCTGTTATGTCAAAAATCGTTTTTCATCAGAAATTCTATCGTTTGAGGAATATGATCGTACTTCTCTAGAAATGCTTTGGCTCAAGGTTCGTATTGGCCGTAAATGTATTGTAGTTGGTGTTATTTATAGACCGCCTCGGGGAAGTTTGGATGTTGCAGTAAGTATATTAGATAATATGTTGTCCATCTTAGCACCGTCTAATGAATGCATCTTGGTACTTGGTGACCTCAACGTTAATTTCTTTATTGATAATAAGATTAATCAGTGCTTTCAATCTTACAGCCTGCACCAGTTATTCAATGAACCAACTCGAATAATTGATCATTCTTCAACGCTTTTAGATCCGGTTTTCTTCAACTGTGCACAAAGATGTTCCAAAGTGGGAACTTTCACTGTTAACTTTAGTGATCATCAGGCTGTATTCTGTCACATTTCGTGTAAAAACAATAAACCACCACCTAGACTAATTACATTTAGAGACTATCGCAATTTTGATCTAACCTCTTTTGACGATGACTTATTTAGCGTTAATTGGGCTGAAGTTATTTATATGGCTAATATCGATGAGGAAGTAAAATTTATTTCCGATAACATTGTAGGACTTTTTGACATACATGCACCACTAAAAACAGTGAGAGTGTCTAAGCCTCGTGCACCATGGCTCACAAACAATTTGAAAATGATAATGAAAGAACGAGATAAGGCTTTTCATAAATATAGACGGTCTCGAACGGATGCGAATCGAAATCATTACAATGAACTGAGAAATTTTACCAAAACTGCTACACGTGCAGAGAAATCAGGCTACCTTCAACATCTATCTCGACAAAGAAACTCTGCAGCTCTTTATAAAGCTCTTAAGTCATTTAGAATTCAGGATTCTAGTAATACTGACATTCCGGATGACTTAGCAGTTCCCAATGAAATAAATAACTATTTTACCAGTATATTCCAGAAAAGTGACGATGATTGCTCGGAAACTATCGAATTTTATAGCCATAACAAATTAAACCAAGATTTTCATTTTCAGTTCCGTCTTGTCGATATATCTACAGTATTGGATGCTATTCGCAGTATCAAGTCCAATTCTAGTGGTATTGATGGCATTACGATTGAGATGATTAAATTGTGTCTACCTGCTGTAGGAATGTACATTTTGCACTTAATAAATTGTTGTTTAGAGCGCGGTGTTTTTCCGAGTGCTTGGAAGGAAGCATTAGTGCAACCTCTTCCAAAGATTCCCAATCCCCAGGTTCCTGGTGATCTCCGACCTATTAGCTTGCTGTCAGCTCTATCAAAAATTCTAGAAAAAATAGTTTATATGCAGTTGAATGAGTATTTACTCGAACGCAGCATTTTGCCATTAAATCAATCTGGCTTTAGAAAGGGTCACAGTACCACTACCGCTTTGGCACGGGTTTGTGACGATGTACTAACAGCGGCGGATAGGCAAGAAGCAACTGCATTAGTCTTATTGGATTTCAGCAAGGCTTTTGACACCCTGAATCATAAGCTGTTAGTTTCTAAATGTAAACGTGTGACGACTTGGTTCTGAAATGGATAGATTGCTATTTAAGTGAACGACATCAATATGTCGTCATAAAAAATAAACTTTCAGACAAGAGGCCGATTTGTTCCGGCGTGCCTCAGGGATCCATATTAGGTCCACTTTTATTCCTTATATACACCTTTGACATTTCTAACACCCTTCAACATTGTTCTAGTCAATCATATGCTGATGATATGCAGGTTTTTCATAATTTCTGTCCGAACAACTACCATTTAGCTAACAACCTTATCAATCAAGATATGCTGCAAAACATAATTTACGTCTAAACGCATCGAAATCGACAGCTATACTTTTTTGCTCCAAGAAAAAACGTACTTTCCTCAAATCAAAGTTAAATTTATCACTAAATAATAGTATCCTAATATTTTCCCATTCTGCAAAAAATTTAGGTTTTTTTCAGATTTCAAGAGCATGTTGGCTATGTGTGTAAGTCTAGTTATTTTAGACTCAGGCTTCTATATGCAAGTAAAACTGTTTTATATAGAAAAATTAAGAAAATGTTATGCGAGTCACTCATACTCAGTAAAATTGCTTACTGCAACATAGTTTATTATCCCTGTCTGGATGAAATCACAAAATACAGACTGCAAAAAATTCAAATCTCATGTAGTCGTTACATAAACAATTTAAGAAGGTACGATCATGTTTCTCACTCAATATCTTCAATGAATTGGTTGAAAATTTCTGATCTTTTCAAATACAACTTTGTTACATTTGTCGTAAAAATATTAAAAACTTCTGTTCCCGTTTATCTTATGCAAAAGCTTGTTCGTAGGAATTTAATTCACAATTTGAATACGCGCAACATTAATGACAATGCCACAACATAGGACAGCCATTTTTCAACGGTCTTTTACGTATAATGCGGTGAAATTGATCAACTCTTTCGAACAATATTTCATCAGCAACTTTTCTAAAAATAAAATATAAAAACTACTTATTGAGCTCTTAGGTTATTGTCCTCTCTTTGAATCGTACGTATTATGTTTTTTGTTCTAATCGTACGCATTGTATCATATTTATTAATTCTTCTTTTACTATTATTCTTCTTTTTCCTTTTCTTTTTCAGTTTTTTTTTATTTTATTTTGAAGGTAGTAATAAGCATTGACATTTATGCTTAAGTATAAATGGCCATTGGCCAGACTTCGCCATTTGTAAGGATACATAATTATGTATGTGTTACAATAAAGTCCATTGAATTGAATTGAATTGAACAACGAAGGAAAATTGAAGGAGCACCTAGGCCATCAACGGTTCGAGACGAACGAGGACTTGCAAAGAGCAGATACCAAGTTCATAAAAATTTCAAGATAAAAATGACCACTATGTAGAGGAATAGCTTAAAGATCAACGTCAGTAAACTAAACAAAGTTTTGTTTCCAAAGGCAACTTGAATTATTTTGTGTTTCTTAAAATTAAAGCCAATGCATTTTGAGGCGAAACTTTTAGAACATTTACGTTATTTAGAAAAAAATCCAGCAGTATTTATTGTCATTGTTGACACTTCACGTGATCTATGTCCAATCTTCCAGGTGCGATTGCAGCTAAACCAAGAAGAATCCAACATCTCAATGCCCAACATCGGCGCCAGAAACATGACCCTTCCCTTGTACCGCCGCCACTACTCCGAGGACGAGTCCTTCAACAGGCCGATGATCGCTCCAGGCATGCAAAGGGTTGACCTTGAAAGGCAGGAGGCGAACTCTTCTCCGGATTTGGGCATCGAAAGCGACCACGGACGTTTCTCCAGCTTGGAGACGCAGCAATCGACGAGGCCTTTGTTGCAGACCATCGAGTTGACCGAGTCTATGAGCAATCTGTTGGACGGGGAACATCCGCCTGTTGGACCGGTTGGAGACTGCGGTAAGGAATAAAGCTTTGTTAACGTTTCTGTTTCACTAATAGTCTCTCGAATGTCGAGTTTTGTTTGTTTGTTTAAATTTATTTAGCATGATTGCCTCAATTACATTCTTTTAGAAAACGACAGCAATTACATAATATACAAATATTCAGGAAGACAAAAATTGCGTTTATGAGAATGTTCACTGTCGATGAAATGTTCCTTTAATTTTCTTTTAGATATGTTTAAATTACTAGTAGACTTTATATCATTATTTAGTTTATTAAATCCAAGTAATCCTGTATGAAATATTGATATTGCAATTTTGTAAATGGAAATCTATATTTCCTCTCATATCATAATTGTGGTAATGATTATTCAATTCTATGTAGTGTTCTGAATGTTGTGGCAAAAGATGATTTTTTATTTTAAATATACAAATAAGAACTAAATATGATTTAAAATTTTTTATATAGAATCACTGCAATTCTTGAAACATAGAGCCTTATAAAAATATTTTGTTATTTTTTTGCAATTTTTTAAATAATTGATCCTCAGACTTTAGCTTACTATCAATATATATACCCAAATATTTAATTGATTCAACATTTTTAATTATTTCACCATTTATCCCATATGTGATAGTATTTTCATTCAAGTAAAGGGTTGTCCAATAGGGACGCAGGAAAGTAAACGTCAATTTGACATAGACGCCATCTTTGTTTTCTGTCACCGACATGTCATTTTGTTAGTTGAATGTTTACCATTGATCGCTATGGAGTCGTATTCGATTGAAGACCGCATTAAAGTTATTCAAGAGCACTACAAAAATGGTGCAAAAATAAAAAACACGTTTCGCGCGCTTCGTGAACATTTCGGTCGCAACAACCGCCCAAACGAAACAACCATCGGTCGTCTGGTGCGTAAATTCGAGGCAACCGGTTCTGTGGCAAATCTGCCAGGCTCTGGCCGGCCAAGGAGCGTTCTCACACCGGAAAATATTGCTGTTGTGAAGGAGAGTGTGAGAGACGATCCGAAACAATCAACGACGCGTCGATCCCAAGAATTGGGCATTTCGAGAACCAGTTTGCTCCGCATTCTCCACAAGGATTTGAATGTACACGCCTACAAGATCCAAGTGACGCAAGAGCTGCGTCGGGCCGACCATTTTTCGCGCCGAACGTTCTCAGATTGGCTCCTTGAACACCGCCAAATTGATGCCAATTTTTCATCAAAAATCATGTTCAGCGACGAAGCGCATTTCACTTTGAATGGGACGGTAAACAAGCAAAACTGCCGCATCTGGGCGAACGAAAATCCCCGTGAGTATCAAGAGCAGCCGATGCATCCTCAAAAAGTGACTGTGTGGTGTGCATTGTGGTCAAAAGGCATCATCGGACCTTACTTTTTCGAAAATGCGGTCGGGGACGCCGTTACCGTCAATTCTGAGCGATATCACGTGATGATAGAGGACTATTTTTTGCCGCAACTTGAAGGAATGGATATGGACGATGTTTATTTCCAACAAGACGGTGCAACATGCCACACAACCAACGTCAATATCCGTCGATTTTAGTCCTTCTTCGGTGATCGCGTGATTTCGCGCAGAGGAAATCTGCCATGGCCACCAAGATCGTGCGATTTGACTCCCTTGGACTTCTTTTTATGGGGACATTTTAAAAACAAAGTCTACGTCAACAAACCAGCCACCCTCCACGAACTCAAAAACAACATCATTGCCGAGATAAATGCCATAGAACCGACCATGTTGCAAAATGTCGTTGAAAATTTCGACCATCGCGTGGACGTCTGTAAATCCAGTCGTGGTGAACATTTGAGCGATACTATTTTTCATACATAAATGATATAAATGAACCTTCAAAATAAAGTACCCAACTTGATTTGAATATCAATCTTTCTTGTTTTAATATGCGTTTACTTTCCTGCTTCCGTTTTGGACAACCCCATATTTCTCTATATGCATACATTTTGTTTTGGAAGCATTGAACTTTAGTTTATTTACATTTAAAGTATTTAGCATTTTCAAAGCAGTGTCTATATTTTCCTGATATGTTTATTAATGTATCACCTTCAAACATCTAAATTTTACAATAATCTAAAATATTACAAAGGTCATTAATGTATAAAATACCTTGGGTAGACCAGCAGAAATATTTTTTGAGCTTGATAATTGTAGATCCAATTTTTGTTTTTTGACTTCTATCAATTATGTAGCTCAGTAAAATTTTAAATAAAGATCCTTTAAATCCATAGTGATGCAATTTTGCAAAAAATTTATCCCTGTCAGTAGTTTCAAACGAACTTTTGGAGTCCAAAACTGCTGTCATTGTATGTTTCCCATTGTCTATACATCTCCTCCAGTCCCCTAAAAACAATCGTATTCCCGTTTCAGTTTAGTGTTTCTACCTTAATGCAGCTCAAAATTTGGTTAAAATTTTATTTCCATCAATGAATTCGATGATCTGTTCCTAAATAATTTATTCAAAGACTTTTGCAACATCTGGCAGAACATTTATTGGCCGCATAACTCAGAATTCCTAACTTTTGTAACAGGAGTTATGGTAGAACACTTATTATTTATCAGGATTAATATTTTTGCTCGAATAATATCAAAACATTCTTTAAGCAGCCTTTTAGACAAAATCTCAGTCTTTTGATTTGATTTCAATTTTGATATAATCTGGAGGCGATTAATGTTTATTGTTCTAAACTCGCTGAATGTTGCATTATAATCTGATCTAGTGGAAAATTGGTTGCGATCCCCATCAATAATGGATCTCTGAATGTTTCGATCTCACTTTAAGATCCGTTTTTATATTAAAATGCCTTTTTTTTTCAGGTGTGGAACATTGCTGTCAGAAAGCGTTAGAAACCATGCAAGAAAACAGCGATCTCAAACGGAAGCTTCTCCGAATGCGCAGATCGCTAGAAGAGACTGCGAATCAGTTAAATCTAGCAAATCAACGTAAAAAGCAAGTGGAGAAGACTATCTGCAAGCAAATCCACATGACAAGTCAAGTGTTACGGAAAGCAAAAGCCAATTTGGACTCGGGTTCTGAAAGTGACATGTTGACTAAGATGTAGACACTTTTCTTTGTGCCCTTTTAACAGGTGTTTTCTGCACTTCTGAATCTTTTAGTTTTTATGCTTTTTTGCCATTGACGTCTTTGATTTTTTTTTTAGATAATAACTGTCTGGATTTAGGGTTGCATATTCCATTGAATCGTTTCAATCTCAATTCCGATCATTTCCTGGATGTTTTTCATCACCCCAAACCGTCCTCCATATAATTTCACCTAGTTTACATTTTCCATCAAAAATTGACATTTTCGTTAAGTTTCCACTTTAGATCACCTTATGGATAGAAAAAAAATCTGCTAACTATCCTTCTTTTTTTGATCAGATTTTACTCCAACTGACCTTTCATGTATTGGCTGCTCTTCACTACCATTAAGATTTTTTATACAAATTTTTTTATCCTATACATATTTCCGCGAGGGTTTAATTTATTTTTCTCCAGAATAACAAGAAATTTTGGCCTAATGAATCAAACTCGAATAACACATAGTAATGTACAAAAATCCAAGTTTTAAACTAGTGACTTAAGTTTTGTATTGTACATTTTTTGTAATATAGTACACTTAATATTTTTTAAACTGACTGGAAATGTGATATTCTGTGTCTGTTGTGCCAACAAATGTATAGTTTGTGTTTTATTTTTCATGGTTGACTGTTATAAATCAACTTTGATCTGGTCAGTTTCGAAACAGTATTTTTGTGATAAGATGTATATTTTTGAAAATCTCTGTATATATTTGAAGACTCACTACATTTCTGATTTTTTATACAGTTTTGTGTTTTATTTGCACCCCTCAAAACCTCTTTGATTCCCAGATGATTTTATTTAAATGTTCAACTGTACCCTTTTTCCGAGTTAGTATCGTTTTTCCCTAGTTCTTCAAACTACATTTATTTATTCCACATTAATAGATCACAACGAATTTTGTCAAATATCGTGTTTAATTGCCTATATTTAACTTACGCCACTCGTACATCGGCTGTAATACTGGTTGCCTATCCAGCGACGTCTATCTCTGCTAGAGATGGGTACATGTAACAGCTATCAATCAACGACATCCGTGGGTAGTTCAAATGAAAATGGCATGGATAAAGGAGGTTATTTTATTTATATCAACATACAAAATTCACTGACAGATTTTAAATTATTTAAATTCTCAATATTGGAATTTGCTATCGTTCGACTTCCAGCAGACTGTTTCTTCGTAGAATAAATATAGCGTAAGTATCAAGAAATTTACTAAAGACAGATAAATAATTTCAGTGATCGGTTGATTTTATTTTTGTACCACATTAATAAATAGTATGGTTGTTTCTATGCTCTACAGAGTAGACAAGCGCGTTCTATGGCTTTTATAGCTACTCTGTGTTTATTTCATTTCTCACAGTACTGAAACATGCAGCAGGCGCATATGGAAATGCTTTGACATAAGATGGTAAAGATACTACAGTAAATTGTCGAAATTTACCAATGTTTCCGAATCGCTTAACAAACGAGATGCTTCCGGGATACTTTGAGAATTACGGAAACAACTGAGATTTGCCTGTTCAAACAGCTCTCCGAGCGGGTAGCGTTCCTCAAACAATACAGTTATTTATTGCACAACAACTTTTTCCAATGACTTGCCAATTTTTGTCAAATGAGTACCTATACTTACCTTATTCCCCTCGTACGGTGGGTGTAATACTGGTTGCCTGTCCAGTGATGTCCTAGTAGGCTAGAGATGGGTAAATATGCAATCAGGTCAATCATCGACATACGTAAGTAGTTCAAATGATAATGGAAAGGTCATGGATAAAGAGGTTATTTTATTTATTTATATCAACCTTCAAAATTCACAAAGATAGATTTTAAAATGTGATATCGTTTGACTTATAGCAAATTGTTTCTTAACGAAATAAATATAGCGTAAGTAACAGGTAATTTAATAAGTACTGATAAATAATTTCAGCGATCAGTTCATTTTATTTTTGTACTATATTTATAAATAGTATAGTTGTTTATTCCCATAAAGTATTGGTTTGACACACTATCGAAGCGAGAGTGAGTTCCTATAATAAATAATAATGCAAATAACACCTGAAATCACCTGTGCAAGAAATGACTCATGCAAATAATTCCTATTCTCTAGAAAAATGTTCTCATCTTTCAGTCAGTGAGAGGTTGATCTATTTTTAGTTTGCCTTACTTGTGTGATGTCTATAGAAGAAAGTGCAAGCAATGTCCAGAAATCAGGATTTTCAGACAAATTACCTTTGTTACGATCCAATTCAACCCCTGTGGCAAAGGTACAGCACAAAAAATTGATACAACCTGATGATACATGTTCTCTAATATTAGAACCTTCCTCGAATCTACCTCAAGACTGCAGAAATCATAGGAAAAAGGATAGAAATGACGCTCTTATTTATACAAACAAAATATACTGTGATAAACCTGGTTCTCTAGAAGATATTTCAGCAATGTCTATTTTAAGTGTATATCAGAATGATACCAATTTGGAAAGTGAAATGGATACATGCAGGTAAGTGCTTATCATTATTAATTTGCTTATAGAGCGATTGATAATGATTACTACTAATATTGTTGACTAAAGCTTATATAAATATAAATAAAATAAAACTAGAAATACACAGAGTCAGTTGTGTGATTGCATTAAAAATTTATCTTATAAGAGTTTGAAAATAACTAATATGTGTGGCTTATACATATTTTTTAGGCAGGGAGGGGGTTGTCAAGTCCATAAAATCATACATGAAATCATGCTAAATAAGCAAATTTTAAGGTCCAACTGGATATAAATAAGGTCCAGTGGTCTTAGGTGTTTCAATTTTGGGTAACTACCCTTACTCCAAAGCATAGGTAAAATTGTACAATTATAATGCATACCCATGAGTTTGCATGCTTATTAACATGATTATTCTATTGATTTTTAGCTCTACATAGCAACACATTTGTAATAAGGTTTTGTCATGATATATATTCACCCTACTGATGCTTTTCCATTAGTTGATTAAACACATAATGTGTACTTTGTGTTACTAAAATAGCAGAAAATATACAATGTCATATAGTAGATATATGGATGAGGTGTAAATTTAGAATAATAAATTGTGTGTGTGAATTATTACAACTATCTTAAGAATATGTTTAAATGATTATATAGGTATAGTAAGTAGTGTGAGATAAATGGATCAATTTCATTTTACAGAGACATGGAAAACGTTAATGAGTCAACAAAAACAATCAACATAATACCAAACAATCTAGAATCAAAGTCAACTTCTGATAACAAGACAGAACTAACGTGTTCAAGAAGATGTTGCCCAGAAAACAATGCATCAAAATGTGCAAGACCAAAAATATTTTTCTTAGATGGCAAGAGATCAGTTGATTACATCCTTGTATGGGATGCTTTCAATGAAGATTCCATCAAACCTGATGCTCACACCAAAAGACAGATATTTGAAACAAATTTGATGAGGGAAGGTTTAGAGTTGGAATATGAACCTCAGGAACCAAATGGACTGAATTTTGTTAAGGTATTTGTGAACTTTTATATTCCATGCTTCACTATAACAATAAGAAGACATATATGATTTTAAACACTTTTTGGTTAGAAGATCTTCTATTTTCTGCTTGTTACAGATACATGCCCCCAAAGAGGTGCTTAGGAGATACAGTGAAATTTTAAAATTAAGAATGCCTATGAAAGAGGTGAGTTTTATCTAAAATTTTAATCATAAATGAAAAAAACTAGATGTGGGTTATTACTCAGATAGGCATCATATAGCCATTATTGAAGAATTGGTTATGTCCATTAGAGTGATTTATTAGAAGGGAAGTAGCATTGCTTGTACTGCACCCTGGGGGATAAGTTGACTTAGAAAAAAATTAAATACCAAGAGTTCTTGTAAATAAATAATTTTTGTTCATATATTATTTTCAGGTATTTTTTACATTTATATCTTTTTTATTTATGTTTATTTTCATATTATTTTCCTAGGAGTTATGTAGATATCCAACAGATTATCAGAGGCCCACTGTGTTTCAAAATATTACAGATAAGGTATACAAAAAGTGTTTTTTTTTTACTTGTCACATATTTGATTTAAGTGTGGTTTTGCAATGATTTTCGGTGTTCTTGGGGAACATTTTTGGTATATGCTGAGTTTGTGTGATTCTGATATGCTGCCGAGTTTCATCAGATTTGGTACAATATTAAAAAAAGGGTGTACTAAAGTAGATATGAGAATTTAACATATGTGAAAATATGGAGAGCTCAAAAGCCTTTCTACCTCTTGCTAATTGCCTTTGAGCTTTATGTACCCTGATTTTCACACTCCATGTATTATATACTGAGTTTTATTCAAATTCCTCTGTATGTTCTTACTACTCAACTTTCTAGATGTTATGACTAAGAAATATGAATTGATATCCTCAGAAATTCTCTACAAAATATGTTTAGATTAGACCTTTTCCAAAAATGTTGGAAGCCTAGAAGGAGCAGGTAGTTACTTAAAAATATTCCTTTTCTAGAGAATTGTTATTATTTTATTTATAATAAAAATTATATCTCGTTCGGTATCCAATATAGAATTACATACATGTCCAAAATATTTGTACACTATACATATCCTTGGGAAGGGTAGTATTTCTCTGTATGAATTCTTTGTTACAATTGCTCAAATCTAGCTTACAAAATTGAACATGTCTTTACGACTTAGCAGATTAGAGGTTTTGTCCAAGTATACCAGTATTTGGCCCCACGTACTCCCGGGTGTCGACAGAATCCCAACCGAAATCCGCGCTCCCAGTCGGAATATTCCATTAGTGCCAATGACTCCTGGACTATAAAACGGCTATACTACGTTGATCGCGTTCGCGAGTATCGATGTTCGCCTCTAGTTACGTCTCCCGCGGACAGGTGGCAGCACAAAACGGCGTACCTTCACTACCCCGATAAAATTTAACAACTACGTTGGCTGGACCATTTACAAGCATACTTACCTGGCGTAGGGGTTACCGTGATCAAGAAGGCGGTTCCCCCAGGGTGAGGCCCTTTCATTGCACTACGATTGGGCTGACCCCTGCGATTATCCCTAATGCGGATAACTCGGGCGCGTAATTTTTGGTAGTCGGGACTGCGTACGCGCTGTCCCGGTGTTATCTAATAAAAACATAATTTAGAATTTCAACATTTCGCGTTTTGGTGTCCTTTTCTCTATATATTTCTGTTTTCTGTATATTATGTATATTGTTTTGGCATTACATTACATTATTATTTTATCGTTATTCGGTGTTCGGTGTCCTTTCTGTATATGTGTATATATTGCTATTGCATACATTGTTGTTTTATCATTACTTGTTTGTGTAAAGTATAAGTATCGCGAAATTTTGTTACAATTCGGAATCAGAAGCGGAACATTATTTTTATTCAAATATCAACTCGGTTTCGAGTTTCGGCGGTTTTTCGACAGTCTTTAGATTTTTAATCTATAAATTTTTGTTTTTCTTGGAAATATGATGACCTGACCTCCCGTATCGAGTAGAAGCCGTTGTAGGAGACTTTTTGGTTTTTAGAACATATCTAGTCTAGATAATCTAAAATCTAACTAGATATGTTCTAAAAACACGAAACACGACTAGATTATTAATTTAACAAATAACGAAATAACTACTCCATATTGCTCAATAAGAAGTTTCGTTTTTGACTGAAACTAAAGCTGACATGATTTAGATTTCATACAAACTCGGCATCAAACCAGCGTTTATTCAGGTGATTTCTGTTTCAACATGCTTTCGTTTTTGTCTGAACGCTTTTGGCCAATCACTGTGCTGTCTTGGGAAGGCTGTGCCTTGTGGGATAAATCGATAGTCGCTATGCATCAATTTTTGGAAATATTTTCAGATCCCAGCTTTGAGACAGGTATCCAGGAGCACAAATTTTCTAGTAGAAGAGTTACACAATCAATGGGATAAGTTGAAATTCTGGATTTTCGTAGATAAAAAGACGTTTCCTGATAAAGGGCAACGATTTACTGCAATTTATAGTAGAGATAGGGAATATTTGTGAGTATACCTGCAATATTATAATCGCGAAAAATTGCTCCGTGTTTTTCGTCTCTGATTATTTTTTGTCTCAGTCTGAAAAACTACTGGAGGGGTGAATTGTAAACCTCGTTTTTTGATGTTTTGTACTGCTATGGACTAATTTATTATTCTGTTTTAAGATTTGACGTGGACTCGCCCTGTTTTTTCACACCAGCAATTCATTCTCGAATAGTTCAATTTATTTTGGATAGAAAGAGGTTCAGTAATAATCCTCAAAATGACTTTGCCTTTGGCATTGAGAGGCTCCTCAACGAAAAAGCGTACGCTGCATCTTATCCTTTACATGATGTAAGTCCTCAATAAAAAATGTCTATTATCAGGAACCTTTTAAGTTTAATTAAGCCTTACAATTTCAGGGAGATCTCAGAGCCTCTGGAAGAATGAGACATCTACTATACACAGAATGGGCGTCTATAAGAAAATGGTACAAGTATCAGCCCTTGGATTATATAAAAGAATATTTCGGGGTTAAAATAGCGCTGTATTTTGCGTGGTTGGGGTTTTATACGCATATGTTAGCCCCGGCTGCCATTGTAGGCTTAGCTTGTTTTATATATTCCTGTGCTACTTTGTATAGCAACCAACCAAGGTGAGGGAATCCAACGACTCTCGAAATAAAATAATATACAATGTGTTACAGGAAAATTGGTGGACAGATTCACAATGTTGACATATTAAAAATGTTCACATAAACATATGTCCAGAAATGATTTGTTTTCATATGAAATTTTTCATGTAATGTTCATCCTAATCCTAAAAAAAGTGATATTAAATAAAGTTGCATTTTTCAGAGATAAAAAATCTATTGCGTGACAAACATTATTTTAGATCCTACACCTTCTGTGTACGCCACTGGTTTTTGCAAAAAATCGTATCAGTATCTTGAAGCCAGATTGAATTCACTTAAAAACTGACTCTTGGAGTTTTTGTTCAGGTATAGTTTTCGAAATAATTATTTTATTAAGCAGTTCATTATGTAATCCATGTACCGCTATTAAAAAATACTAATAAAACTGGCACTTTTTTATTGGACGTGACAAAAAACCCCAATAGAAGACAGGCTCGATATGGCTTTGAGAGCAAGATACATATTTTTTCAAAAACCAGTGAACTACGCAACAACAGACAAAAATGTTAAACACCCCCGTAAAATGAAAACGAGAAAATTTCGAATTTTGTACTTTTTTTCAGATTTTTACTTGCTGAATGTGCCCTTTTCCCTGACAATTGACACTAACGCTAAAACAACTTATAATTTAAACTGTGTTTTCAGTGAGGATATTTGCAACCAAAGACTGAAAGAAAAAATGTGTCCACTTTGTGACGTCTGGTGTGACTATTGGGACATAAAAGAATCTTGCGTCCATGCCAGGATAACTTATTTATTTGATAATCCGACCACTGTGTTTTTTGCTATATTTATGTCTATCTGGGGTAGGTAGAATCAATAACTGACTAGTACAATCACACACTATTTTGTTGAAGATTTATTTAGCATTAATGCTACAATGTCAATTTCGTGCAATTATTCGTTTTTTGAATTTATTTTCTGCAATTTTAGATTCTTGCCTATTATTAAAATTACATCACTATGCATTTTGAGTATTTATAAAGTGATTTTTTAATTTCACCTTTTGAAGTCTTCCACCTCCATTTAGATTGCTGCTTCTATAGAATATTGTTTTCTTAATCCAGCTTGATTTTTCGTGAAAATGTATTATCGCCTCGAATAGATTCTCGGCATTTGGCGAAACATTAATCGGCCACATATTTGTATACCAAGTGACATATAAATCCGAACACCCAGTTTAAATGGTTTTATTTTAATAAAAGTTGGTGAATGTATTTATCTTACTGTAAATAACAAGTGAAAAAATTTTCAGCCTTATCAGTTGGATATTCCGGTTTTTATACTGCTTTTTTTTAATTCACTAACGCTCTAAAAATTAATATTTCAGCCGCAGTAAAGAATCAACGTTGGCGGATTTTGGTTCTTGACATCCTTTATGATCGGTTACAATGCCTAGAGTACGGAGACCTGTACGATTTCGTCAACTTAGTGAGTTTGATAAGGGCCGTATAGTGGGACTTCGGGAAGCTGGACTTTCTTTTCGGGCAATTGCAGTTAGAGTGCAAAGAAGTGTAGACACTGTGGTTAGGTGTTGTCAGGCATGACTTCGAGAAGGCCGTACGCAAAGAGCAAGGGGCACTGGACGCCGCCGTAGAACAACAGACCGTGAAGATCGCCGCCTAAGATTATTGGCCTTAAGAGACCGTTTCTCCACTACCAGGTCCATTGCAAATGAATGGTTTGCAGAACACGGAAGACCTATTGGCATGCGAAGTGTTTACCGACGAATGAGAAGTTTTGGCTTGTTTTCATACCGGCCACACTGGGTCCTCCCTTTAACTCGAGAACACCGACGTAATCGCCTTGAGTGGTGCAGACAACGGTCACTCTGGGATCAGAAATGGAACAGTATTGTCTTTAGTGACGAGTCTCGATTTTGTTTAGGCATGCACGAAGGTCGTGCCAGGGTTAGAAGGCGACGTGGTGAAAGGAAAAATCCACAGTTTTTTGTTGAAAGACATGTTCATCACACTGTTGGAGTTATGGTTTGGGGTGCTGTAGCTTATGGTTCCAGGTCACCTTTAATCTTCATCAGAGGTAACATGAACGCGCAGCGTTATATCCACGAAGTTCTAGAACCCTATCTTGACACCCTGGCAGATCCAACTTTCCAATAAGATAATGCCCGACCACATGTTGCAAGAGTCACAATAGACTTCTTTCAACATAATGATGTCACATTGTTACCATGGCCACCAAGATCTCCCGACTTATCCCCAATTGAGCACGTGTGGGATATGATGGGTAGGAGATTGCTCAATTTGCAACGTCCTCCTCAGACTCTAGAAGCACTTCGAGAGGAGTTGGTGGTTGCCTGGAATGAGATACCACAGGAGGACATTGACCACCTGATCAGAAGCATGCCTGGGCGCGTTGGAGAATGCGTAGCACATCAGGGTGCATCCACACATTATTAAAGGTCAAAAGGCTTTAAAGCAATGCAATCATTTTGACATTTTTATCATTAACTTATTATGCTTCATTAAGTACTTATACAAAATTTTATTAAAATAAAACCATTTAAACTGGGTGTTCGGATTTATATGTCACTTAGTATATATAGCTCAGCATGTTGAACTTTTGGCACAGGAGTAATTTAGATCGGAATTCACCATAAACTAAACAAAGATTAATATATATTAATTTCTCTCCATTTATATTGAAACAATCATTTAGAATATTTTTTGAGAGATTCTCACTTAGATTTTTATTACTTTTCAATTTTGAGATATGTATAAGAAAAAACAATTCTTGATTTTTAGCTACATTGTTTTTGGAAATGTGGAAAAGATATTCTGCTGAAATAACGCATCGTTGGGACTTGACTGGGTTCGATATACAAGAGGAACACCCCAGGCCTCAGTACTTAGCAAGATTGGCACATGTCAAACGAAAACAAATGAACGTAGTAACAAATACTATGGAACCTCACGTGCCTTTTTGGAAACTGCGAGTACCTATGACTATATTCAGCTTTTCAGTTGTACTGCTTTTGGTGAGCCTTATATTTTTTAGTGCATTGGTAGCGTTACATGCATTTTCAGAAGATGTCGTTTATATATACAGGGTGTTACTTAAGATACAGGGTGTCAAACTTTAACGCCCTATATCTTGGACATACGTTTATAGTAGTAGTAGTAGTAAAAAGATTTATTTAGCACATTTGGCTACATAAACAGAATAATTGTAAACAACTTAGAACTAGTAAATTCAAGCCATATGGTGTATGATGTAAATGCTGGGCAACCTATAATTGTAGATTTAACAAGTGATTTCTCAATTTTACTTTAAATTTTGTCAAAGTTTTCTGGTCTTTTATCTCCGAGTATAATTTATTATATTCAATCAACCCTTGATGGAATACAGATTTGTAGCATATGTTATACTTTTTGGTCATTAAATGGAAGTCATCTTTATTTCTGGTATTATGTAAATGATGGTCGACATTTGATGATGTTAAATTAGTTGCACTTGATGGAAATACATTATTTTTTACTTTATAAATGAATATCATTACAAGATATTTGATAAAATTTTTTACATTGAGCCATTTTAATTTGCTAAGCATTTGCCTAATTGGAGTATATTTATCTTTATTTAGTATTATTCTCATGCACTTATTTTGTAAAATTAATAGTCGAACAGTACAAGAAATTTGGAAGAATGATGGTATTATAGATAATTTTTCTGCTATATGAACTCAGACATCCAGAAACTCTCGATAAATATCCCACTTTACTACTAATCTTATTTATAACTTTTTCATAATGAATATCAAAAATTAATCGAGAGTCAACAAAAAACCCCCAGGTATTTAAAATTTTCTACGAATTCAATATCTTTACCATCAATATTTAGTTGAACATTTGTACATTGTTTTTTCCGATTAACAAGGCTTTCGTTTTACTTGCATTTAATTTTAGTCTGTTAGATGCTAACCATTTTGAGACAAGCTTCAAGTCTTCATTTATATAAGAGATACCAGACTGAATATTTTTAGTACTTATATAAATCATAATGTCATCGGCGAAAATCTGAATTTTGCATTTTTTGACTATGGCAGGTAAATCATTTATGTATAAAATAAAAAGAAGTGGTCCCAGGATACTGCCCTGTGGAACACCCAACGTATTTTCAATTTTTGATGAAATAATGTTATTAACTTTTGTAACTTGCATCCTTTTAGACAAGTAATTTCTAAACCAATCTAAAACACTTCCTGTTATACCAGATGCCTTCAATTTACCTAACAAAATATCTCTATCAATCGTTTCAAATGTCCTCTTCAAATCCAAAAATACTGCTATGACAACTTCTTCTGAGTCTATGGCTCTTCTCCAATTCTCAGTTACCAACTGGAAAGCTGTTTCTGTGGAATATTTTTTTCGAAAGCCTGCTTGCGCCTCCACTAAAATTTTGTTTTCTTCTATAAACTGCATTAATTGGTCATGCACTATGGACTCTAATAATTTTTCAATGTCTGGTAACACATTTACTGGTCTCATATCGCTGCATCTTTTAGAATTTTTTATTTTGGGAACTGGTGTTTTCAGGAAAAGAACTGCTTCTCAGTGAACAATTGATCCAATTTAATACAGGATATCCCAAAATTTCGAAACAGTTTTTTAGCACGTTTTTAGTAGTGATTTCGGCACAGTTGTTATTTGATTTTAAACTGTTTACTTTTTTTCTTAGATAATTTAATGATACGCTGTGAAATTTTGAAAGTGTATGCAACATTTCCCCCTGGAAACTGATTTTCATATAGTCAGGTGCAGCATTGGCAGTACCCACAATATTAACAATACTTTCCACAAAATATTCATTTAGTTTGTTTGCAATCACCAAAGAATTTGTTTCGGTACCGTTTTCGAATTGAACTTGATTTACACAATCATGCGGCTTCGAATTGATCAGTCTTTCTAAAGTCTTCCACATCTTTACACTGTCGCACTTGTTATTATCGATTTGTTTATCGTAGAATTTCCTTTTTTCTTCTCTAATTACATATACACATTTATTCCTAAGAGTTTTATATACCTCCCAATCATCATTTGATTTTGTGAATATACATTTATTGTATTGTTTGTCTCTCAAATTTTGAGCTGCCTTAATATTCTTGTTATACCAGGGTGTATTTTTTGTCGAGCAAATCACTTTTTTATCAGTTGCAAGATCTAAACAAGTTTTTATATTTCCTATTATGTTGTCATATATTTTTTCCATATTCTCACCAAAATTCCAATAGCAGCCAGCAAGTTCTCGTTAAGTTTTTCGTACTTAATAGTATTTACGATTTTCTTAATTATATGAACTTTTCCACTCAATTTGTTTCAGGAATGCGTCCTTGTTATTTCGGCCTATCATTAAGTAACACCCTGTATATTTTACAAGCAGAAAAAATGAAAGCTTATTACGCGCTGAGAAGAAGTTAATAATTGAAGCGTCAATGCGAGTGTTGCTGATGACTCTGAACATGTTAATAAATTCCTACTATAGCGAAAAATATTTATTTTTAGGTTACCCTGGCTTTAGCTACCGTTTTAGCAGTAGTTTTGTACCGAATGTCTGTTTTAGTATCGTTAAAAACATTTAACAAAACATTTTTAGTGAACAACAGCTCTGTGATGCTGTTTACAACGTGCACCGCAGCTTCTATAAATCTGGTCTTCATCATCATTTTCAATTACGTAAGTAAAACTAGACTTTTAAACGTACTTTTCGAATTCTTTGGAATCAAATGCATGCTGTTTTTGACCCGTTAATACCGTTGTCAATACGACAACAGTGGATGTGAAATTTTTGTAATCTGTCACAAATTAGTGGATAAATTTGGTACAAATTACCAGCAAATATAGGATTTCAAATATTCAGGTTTTTACCAATAATATAACATTTGTTCGACTACTGGTAGTATCCGGGTTACTGGCACATTCACTCTATTTGCTTGAGCGTTAAAACAAATCCTAGTAGTTTTCTATAGCAGGGAGACACTTTATAAATGGATAAAACAATGAAATGCAAATAGAAAGAAAAATATTAACCAGAGTTAAGTAGATATGATTTCTGGAATTTCGACAAATTTTTTTTTCCGTTTTGAGCCGCGTACGCCCTTGTCGAAGTAAAAGGTACTTATTTTGGTTAAGACATCATATAAAATAGGCTATTTAAATTCATTCCCGAATTTCATTACCAAGATAGAAAGCCATAATAGACCAAAGAGTCACAGTGGAGAATTGTTATTGATGCACCAAGATATACGAGCCCCTTCCCACTTCAGTTGGCCCACTTCAAGATTTGTACCAAACAATTTATTTTCTCAAAAACATTTTAGATACACTCTAGTCGTAAACAATACATATTTGAAATCACTTAGACCTATAACTAATAGAACAAATAAACAATGTGCGAATAAATGCGCGAAGTTAACAAAGCAACAATTGAAAGATTACCATTGGGTAACATCACCTTTATTTTTTATTGGGGCTAAAATTCTTTGGGGCATAGTGTTAACCAAGTTTTGGCAAACATTTGGTGTAAAACAATCCCATATTTCTTGAAGCTTTTGTCTCAGTTAGGTACGAGCAGGATGTTGTCGTAGAACCTTTTTCATCTCGTGCCACAAAGTTTCAATAGGTGACAGATCTGGACTGCTAGAAACCCATTTCAAAAGTGGTACATTATTTTCTTCCATCCATTTTGTAGCCTTTTTTGAGGCGTTCTTCCATCACTGGTAAAAGCGATTCTTCTAAAATTGCCAAATATTTGTTTGTATCCACATTTCCATCAATAAAATGAAGTTTTCCTACTCATTTTGATGACATATTGCCCCAGACCATAATGGATGCTGGAAAATTTCACTTTTCTCTTCATACAGTCAACATGGAATGCTTCATTTTTTTTAGAATAACTCTACTGCGACTGTCACAAACACAAACTTCGAATCGGGCCTCATCACTCCATTGTATTGCACACCATTGTTGAGGTGTCCATTGTCTATGTTCTTTAGGCCATCTAAGCCGATTTTTCTTTTGCAGTGGAGTTAATAGTGGCTTTTCTTTGGCCTATAAACAAGTTGTGTAACTTTAGGGTTTTTACTTCACTTTTTTATAAGAAAACTTACCTTGCAAGTGCTAAATCCCAGTTTGTGGGCCTCTCTATGAGTTGTAGAGCTCGAAATTCTCCTTCCAACAGCGTCACTCCACGATTATTCTTCTTAATGCTCTTCGGTCGGCATTTGTGATATTACTTTTTTTCACATATAATGGCTTATTATTAACTGAACCAGTTACGTTATATCTTCTAACAATATTTCTCACACTGTACCGGGATAAGTCTAACAAAGTTGCAATTTCTGAGTTTGATTTCCCAGAATTAAAAAATTTAACCGAATTTTCTCACTAATAACCTTTCCTCTACCCATTTTGAAAACCTTAACTACCCAAAACTATTTTAAAAGTATTCTGACAGCTGTGATTAATAAAAACAATTGTCATGGCTTTTATTTTTCATAGCCACCTATGCGATATAGACTTATTTTGCATTGAAATGAATATAGGTTTATATGCTGCAATTGCAACATGTTATTTTTATGCTGCAAATTTGATTAGGGAGTGTTTTCTACTATATATTATCAAAATATTCATTGTTAATATTTTAAACCTATAACACCCTGCGACATTTTTATTATTTGTGTTTGATAAGAAAAAAACTGAGATTTCAATAGTTGGTCTAACTGAAGTGGGAAGGGGCTCGTACACACAAAAGAATTGAAAACAAAACAAAATGATTATACAGATATTAAAAAAACTAATAAAAAGCCCTTTCCATGATCGATATCATCAGAAGAAAAAAGAATTATCCTCAAAACAAGTAAGTTACAACAAAGCTATCTAACTTTTAGGCCCTGGGCTGAATATTACACGATTTAACACAATAACAAAACAAATTAATTGTTTTCCAACCTACAATTGCTGATTTGGCCAATAGCCTTAAGGCATCAGAACTAAGTTATCCTTTGTTTGAATGTCTGGCAGGTTCGTCATTGCGTCTTAAGACCTGTTTGTACAGCTGTCGCCAACAAGTCACCGACCGCTGTACGAACAAACCATTAATGTTAGCTGCGATAGTACTAATAATTTACATTTTATTTTCAGATATACACATATGTTGCTGAATACCTGACAGAATTTGAGTTACTCAGAACTCAAACGGAATTCGATGATTCGTTGACTTTGAAAATATATCTCCTCCAATTTATAAATTACTACGCCTCAATATTTTACATTGCATTCTTCAAAGGCAAGTTCATTGGCCATCCAAAGGGATATAATAGGTTTTTCGGATACAGACAAGAAGAGGTGAGTCCTGACGAACTGAATACGAACATAGATATCCAAGCATATACTGTATTTCGGCGTCCAAAAGGGAATAAGAAAGATACTTGCGCCATCTTTGAGACAATAGATACATAAATCAGTTTTGTTTGTTTGTTTCATTGGTTATTCAATTTTATGTCGTGTTCTGAATGTTGTGACAAAAATTATTTTTTATTTTAAATATAAAAATAAGAACCAAATATGATATTAAATTTTTTATATTCAACCACTTTAATTCTTGTAACATAGATCTTATTTTGGTATACGTATTCTTATTCAATATTATTATCATAGCTTTATTTTGCAGGACTTGCAGTTTTGAGAATAAAGTTCATTTTTCAATGAGCAAGATTATATTATACAGGGTGGCGCATCGAAAAGGAAACAGAAACATTTACTGGCAGCTCAGTTTTTTTTTGGAAAAACGCCCAGACTCGTCGATTGTGTTTTCGAGGGGGACACAAGTTTGGCAAACAATCACGTTAACACGTGCAGCCCCCTGGGCGGGGGTGACACCAAGCCTAAAATCTTAAATGGAAAGGGGGGTCGAGTGATACCTTATTTTAAAGGTATTTCAATTCCCTTTATAATAATGTAAAATACATGAGCTTCAGTTCAGTAGTTTTCAAGATTTATTGATCTAAAGCTTAAACTAGACTTTAATAGGGACATCAGATTAGTTTTTACTACTTTCAGAAGAAATTTGACTAAAAGAATTTACATAATAAGTAAATGCTTTTCTTCACTACGCCCATGGTTTGTTTATCAGTTTGTTGTTGAAAATAGCTATTGGAGCGATTTTTTGTGGCAAGAAGTTATTTCTTGAAGAAAGATAAGGAAATATCTCATACTTATTTTAAATAGGAATTTAGTACGTAGTTTGCGATTGATTTGACCAAACTTTGTTGCTAAAATAACTTGTAACGCTTTATTACATAAATTAACCATGGTATATTCCACAGCAGAAAGAGTAGAAATTATCGGAATATTTTTCGGAAATAATCAGTGCGCTAATAGAACAGCAGAAATATTTAATGAGCGACATGAGAACAGTAACGTGCATCGAAAATATGTTCTAGAACTTGTAGCTAAATTTCGGGAAACTGGGTCAGTCGCCAATAAAAAACGCAACATTGAAAATCCCATAAAGAACGAAGCAATAGAAGTGGTGGTTTTAGTTCAAGTTTATGTAGATCCTACGTTAAGTACCCGCACATTTCAGACTGTTTGTGGTGTTAGTCGACGTACTGACCAACGGATTCTAAAGGCCCATAGTTTTCATCCGTATAAAATTCACCTGGTACAAGAACTTAATGAAAACGATTTTGATCGACGATTACAATTTTGTGAAGATATGAGTGAACGAATTATAAACGATGAACATTTTCTATTCAACACTTGCTTTTCCGACGAATTTTCCTTTTTCTTAAATGGCGTAGTAAATCGTCATAACTGGCGATATTGGTCCGATTCTAATCCCAGAATTTATCATGAGGTTCATACACAGCAGCCACAAAAATTAAATGTTTGGGCTGGTATTTTTGACGATCATTTAGTTGGTCCTTTTTTCTTACCTGGAAATTTGACGGGTGAAATGTATTTGGAATTACTGGAAGACGCCATAGATCCTGCATTAACAGCCATAATTGAAAATCAGAATGATCGGCGGTACATTGCGAATAGGTTGATATTCCAACAGGATGGTGCCCCACCACATTACGGATTACGTGTTCGACAATATTTAGATCAGACGTTTCCAGATCGATGGATTGGTAGAAGAGGTGCCATTGAATGGCCCCCAAGATCGCCAGATTTATCACCTTTGGATTTCTTTATGTGGGGTCATTTAAAAAGCAAAATCTATGCTACTCAGCCAACATCATTAGAAAACCTGCGACAAAGAATTGTGAATGAGTGCCGTCAAATTACCCCTCAGATATTGCAAAATGTGCGGCTACGTTTTGAGCAAAGTCTTTATTATTGCATGGAGAGTCATGGTGGCCATTTTCAACATTTACTTGCCTAACGGGTCAGTTCATTCTTTATTTTTAAAAAACTTTGCTGCCAAGTGTATTGATCTCTACTAATGATGTATTAGTTTTATTTAAGCTTTAAATCAATAAATCTTCAAAACTACTGAACTGAAGTACATTAACTTTATATCATTATAAAGGGAATTGAAAGACCTTTAAAATAAGGTATCACTCGACCCCCCTTTCCATTTAAGATTTTGGGGGTGGTGTCACCCCCGCTTACTGGGCTGCACGTGCTAACGTGATTTTTTGCCAAACTTGTGTCCCCCTCGAAAACAAAATCGACGGGTCTGAGCGTTTTTCAAAAAAAAACTGCTGCCAGTTAATGCGTCTGTTTCGTTTTCGATGCGCCACACTGTATTATAAACTACCTTTTTTTTAGAATAAGTACTATGACTATAAGAAGCCCTATAAAAGTAATTCGTTTTTTTTTTTTGGCAATTTTTGAAATAATATATTCATAGTGATCCTGAAACTTTAGTATACTAACAATATATACCTAAATATTTAACTGATACATTGTCATTTATTTCAACATTTATCCTAGGGTCGCATTACTTGGATAATATTTTTACGAACCCCCAAGACAGCGATTTCATTTAGCGACAGGATAAGCTCGAGGTGTTACATTAATTTACATACAAGATCTCTGACCACAACATCGAAGCAGTTTCCAGCCACACTGATCTGGGCGTTGTAGTCAACGATCGTCTTTCCTGGTCAGAGCATATTCACCACGTTACATCAAAAGCCAAGAAACTTCTATACATGCTGGAGGGATCTTTCAAAGGATCCGATGTCAACACTTGCGCCTACATTTACAAGGCATTCGTGAGGCCAATTCTTGAATTCGCTGGCCCGGTATGGGACACTGTGCTTCTGCGCGATAGAAATCTCTTCGAATCAGTACAGCGTCGGGCTACTCGTATCCCTTTAGGAGCACGAAGACCAAGCTGTGAAGATCGCCTTGAATTATTTAACCTGACCTCATTCTCTGAGTGAAGGCTTCGTGGCGATCTTATAGTTACGTTCAGGATACTTCATGGTTTGATGGGCACCAACCTCATGCATCTATACTGTCTGTCGCGCAGCAATCTACGCGGACACAGCTTCAAACTGCATAAGGAGCCATTTAAAACAACAGTCCGACAGTGGTTTCTTCCCAACCGCATATTCAACACCTGGAATAGTTTACCTGAAAGTGTGGTTGGTGCTACTTCAGTTAATAGCTTCAAAGTGCAGTATGATAGCTGGAGGAGTGTACAAACTTTATAACTATGAACTGTCTTTTTTTATTTTTTTCTATTTGATGTATTTGTGTTACGTGTCCGTACACTATATTTACTGCATGAGCTTATAGTACTGTGTACTCTGCTCATCTCAATTATCATAATAATAATAATAATAATAATAATATCAAATTTATTGCGCGTTTTTCCAGTGCGGGCCTGGAGGTTGTTTGATGGAACTCTGCATCCAATTGGGAATCATCATGATAGGCAAACAAGCGATGAATACAATCCTTGAAATGCTTTTCCCACTTTTCTTCAAGTGGCTGAACACCCTCAAGGTCAAGACCGGGTTGACAAAAGACAAACTTTCGGGTAAGGGATGCCAACCGCAATGGGTGAAAGACTTCAAGCTGGTGGAATGGGGACCAAGGAGTTTGTTTCCCGAATATTTGGAAATGGGTAAATTGAACTTGAGGGGTATGTGCAAGAATTCTGTCGTTTTTGTATCAGTCACTGTATTGTCATGTGGTTAGTGCCAAGTGCGTGTTCTACAGTGTTGGTTGTCATAGATGTAATTTAGGTAAACTTATTTTTTGGTTCAAACCAGTCTTTTTGTATAAAGCATATTTGTTTGAAAATTACAAGTCACGAAGTGTCTGTTTTTTTTTTATTAAAAAAAAGACAGTTGGTTCAAACCTGCCTACCCTAGAAAACAGTTAAAACGTAACAGCATTTTTGTCGCTTGTTTTCTAAAATCTCAAAATATCCTTGTAAAACAGCTCACATTAAAATTCATTCAGATGTCATTTCTGGATATACATATTTGGACAGAATTTTTGCACTTATTCTTACATAGTGGTGAAAAATTTCATGAATGATGGTTCTTAGCTGACTCTAAAGACAACGTGAATGAATAGCATTTTTTTTGTATTCCAGTTCTCCAATACGGATTCGTGACAATCTTTGTAGCAGCTTTCCCTTTGGCCCCATTTTTTGCATTGCTGAACAACATACTGGAAATGAGGCTCGACGCACAAAAATTACTGACGTACTATCGTCGTCCAGTCTCACAAAGAGTCAAAGACATTGGCGTTTGGTATAGGATATTGGATTCTATTGGAAAACTGTCAGTTGTTACAAATGTAAGTGTAAATATTTCACTGATACAGTACCCCTAACTTTTAAGCATAGATCTATGACTTCATATAATTTCACTGCATAAAAGTTCATATCCTAACTTTTATTAAATCATCCTTTATTTTTAAACAGTACTATCATACAGAGTGTCCCAGATTAAGGTGCCAATCTCTTCTATGCATATAGAATACCAACAATAATAACGTTTGAATATTGTTCCTATCAATACGAGGGATGTCTTTTAAGTTTTGCATATAGAAACATAGTAGGCCGCGCGGATCGAACGTCAGTGCTGAATCTTAACCTCACTCTTTAGTAAACTTAAATTCAAAGTGCAGCAGTGTTCTCACTACAGTGAATTTTTAAGTATCACCAAGTCATTAGAAAAATGGAACTCAACCGAGAACATTTTCGCGCCATAATTTATTACAGCTTTCAGAGGCAATTATCGCAACAAGAATGCCTTGCTGAGTTACTGTCTGTTTTCGGCAACGAAGCGCCACATCAGTCGACAATTTTCCGTAGGTATGGAGAATTCAAACGTGGACGGGTGAATCTTAGCGACGATCTCAGGGTGGGTGCACCAAAAACGGCAGTCATCCAGGAAAACTCGATGCTGTGCGCAAACTCATCATTGAAGATAGAGATGTGACATATCGCGAGATTGAGGCGTCCTTGAAGATATCAAAGACCTCAATTCAAAAAATTTTACATGAAGAATTAGGAGTAAGAAAATTAGTTTCTCGTTGGATACACCACCTGTTGACTGAAGAGCAGAAAGCAGCCAGGGTTAACTGGTGTCAAAAAACGCTTCACCGTTTCAATTCCGAAAACTCAAAAAATGTGTACAGCATTGTTAGTGGTGATGAATCGTGATTTGCTGTTATGAACCAGAAAATAAACGACAGTCGGCTGTTTTTGTGTTCCAAGGTGAAGAAAAGCCAAAAAAAAGTCATCCGTTCTCGAAGTGTTTAGAAAAAGATGGTCGCGACATTTGTGTCAAAAGCGGGTCATATTGCAATAATTCCTCTTAATGAGTAGTTACTGCGGATTGGTATACCACCATTTGTTTGCCAAAAGTCATCACCGAGCTTCGAAAAATCAACTCCGAAAGAAGAATCATCCTCCACCAAGACAATGCAAGCTCACACACAGCCTAAAAAACAAGGCAGTATTTAACGGAAGAAACCGTGGAATTATTGGACCATCCTCCATATAGTCCCGATCTAAGTCCTAACGATTTCTTTACTTTCCCGAAAATTAAAAACAGACTGCCAAAAATGCCGTTTTGGATCTGCCAGCAAACAAGTGGAATAAGTGCTTCGCAAATTGGTTCGAGCTCATGCAGATGTGTATTAATCTTCGTGGAGAATACTTCGAAACACAATAAAGTCATTTAAACCTACCTTCCATATGCAAAACTTAAAAGACATCCCTCGTACACTGCAGTCGATCTCGAAATAGTTTAACAAACACCTAAAAATTGACTGGAGTTCACATTTATAGATGTTCCTTGAAAATTGATAGATCTTTGAGGAATGATGTGTCCTTGGATTTCAAACGAACAATAACGTTTCTTTGAGGATGGACAAGGAAGGACTCAATATTAGCATTTCACAGTGTTGTCATCACTGGTTTTCAAAATGTGCAAAATTTTCGGAATGTACCAACATTTTCAAAATATTGTAAATTTTGAAAATCTTTATTTTCAATTGTCATAAGTTTTCAAAATTTCCGCATTTCACAAACAAAACTACGAAACTAGAGGCAGTATATATTTTCATCTGCAAAACGGACGCGGGAAAGTAAACGCATATTAAAACAAGAAATATTGATATTCAAATCAAGTTGGGTACTTTATTTTGAAGGTTCATTTATACCATTTATCTATGAAAAATAATATCGCTCAAATGTTCACCACGACTGGATTTACAGACGTCCACGCGATGGTCGAAATTGTTAATGACATTTTGCAACATATGGTCGGTTCTATGGCATTTATCTCGGCAGTGATGTTGTTTTTGAGTTCTTGGAGGTTGGCTGGTTTATTGACGTAGACTTTGCTTTTCAAATATCCCCATAAAAAGAAGTCCAAGGGAGTCAAATCGCACGATCTTGGTGGCCATGGCACATTTCCTCTGCGCGAAATCACGCGATCACCGAAGAAGGACTGCAATCGATGGATATTGACGCTGGTTGTGTGGCATGTTGTCCTTCAAGTTGCGGCAAAAAATAGTCCTCGATCATCACGTGATATCGCTCAGAATTGACGGTAACGGCGTCCCCGGCTGCACTTTCGAAAAAGTAAGGTCCGATGATGCCTTTTGACCACAATGCACACCACACAGTCACTTTCTGCGTATGCATCGGCTGCTCTTGATACTCACGGGGATTTTCGTTCGCCCAGATGCGGCAGTTTTGCTTGTTTACCGTCCCATTCAAAGTGAAATGCGCTTCGTCGCTGAACATGATTTTTGATGAAAAATTGGCATCAATTTGGCGGTGTTCAAGGAGCCAATCTGAGAACGTTCGGCGCGAAAAATGGTCGGCCCGACGCAGCTCTTGCGTCAATTGGATCTTGTAGGCGTGTACATTCAAATCCTTCTGGTTCTCGAAATGCCCAATTCTTGGGATCGACGCGTTGTTGATTGTTTCGGATCGTCTCTCACACTCTCCTTCACAACAGCAATATTTTCCGGTGTGCGAACGCTCCTTGGCCGGCCAGAGCCTGGCAGATTTGCCACAGAACCTGTTGCCTCGAATTTACGACCAGACGACCGATGGTTGTTGCGTTTGGGCGGTTGTTGCGACCGAAATGTTCACGAAGCGCGCGAAACGTATTTTTTATTTTTGCACCATTTTTGTAGTGCTCTTGAATAACTTTAATGCGGTCTTCAATCGAATACGACTCCATAGCGAGCAATGGTAAACATTCAACTAACAAAATGACATGTCGGTGACAGAAAACAAAGATGGCGTCTATGTCAAATTGACGTTTACTTTCCTGCGTCCCTATTGGACAACCCTTTATAAAATTACAGAAAATTGGTTCAAAAAACATGTAAAGGGCAATTATACAAAATTGACATTGTAGCAATAATACTAAATAAATCTTCAACAAAGAAACGATCGGTAAATACGGAGTAAATATTCGCCTAAGCCGAGAGACGAGACGCCTTGTACGCATTTTTCTTTTTTCAGGCATTCATAATAGCGTTCACATCAGACTTCATCCCAAAGCTGGTCTACTTGAGTTCCCACCACAGCTTAGACAACTATCTGCAGGACTCCCTATCCTACTTCAACACTTCGGACTTCGATAACTACTCCAGACCCATAGACAGTAGCGAACTGGTGTGTCGGTACCCAGACTACCGAGAACCACCTGGTACATCAAGGGAATACCAACACACTTCGATGTATTGGGAAATTTTGGCTGTCAGATTGGCGTTCGTGGTGATTTTTGAGAACGTCGTGGTGTTGGTTATGATCATAGTGAAGTGGTGCATTCCTGATATACCCAGTGCGCTCAGGGATCAGATCAGGAGAGAGGCTTATATTACCAATGAGATCATCATTCAGCAGGAGACGCTCAGGGCGCAAAGCGGAAAATTACGTAAGTATACTAAGTGACATATAAATCCGAACACCCAGTTTAAATGGTTTTATTTTAATAAAAGTTGGTGAATGTACGTAGTCATGCCATAAGTTCTGTCCCTCGTTTTCAAACAAGTATAGACCTGTTAATACTTGTCCGATTGTTTACATTGTGGTGTCAGTTGATTAAGCGCTTTTCGGGTAATTACATATACCTCAGTTTGTATTGATCTCTCGAAGCATAACGATGGAGTGGGGCAAGGCAGAGAACCGTATTGCAGTGATAGCTTTACATAAGTGTAATCACAGTGCTAGTCAGATTTTTGAACTCTTACGCGGCCTTCAAATATCGCGTAAATTTGTGTCTAGGACCATTCAGCGGTACAATGAGACGTCCTCTGTTGATGACAGGCCAAGAAGCGGAAGACCTCGTCAAGTAAGGACTCCAGCAGCCATCAAAGCCGTAAAAGCCAGGATTCAAAGGAATCCACTCCGGAAGCAGAAGATCCTATCCAGGGAAATGAAGATTCCTGTCCGGACGATGTCGCGCATCATTAAACAAGACCTAGGGCTAGGGGCTTACCGGAGACGTACGGGCCAGCGACTTACGGCCACCTTGCGACACATCAGGGCGACAAGATCCAAGAAGCTCTTGGAGAGGTACGCAGCTGGGGGATTCCGAAAGATTTTGTTCACGGATGAGAAAATCTTCACCATAGAAGAAAAATTCAACCGACAAAATGACAAAGTGTATGCAAGGAGTTCACAGGAAGCTTCGGAGATCATTCCGAGAGTTGAGAGAGGCCACCACCCTGCGTCAGTCATGGTTTGGTGGGGGGTGTCCTACGAAGGGGTCACTCAGCTCCATTTCTGTAAACAGGGCGTGAAAACAAAAGCGGCAAACTATCAGAGCGACATACTGGATCCTATCGTCAAGCCTTTAAGTGGTACATTGTTTGCCAACCAACACTGGGTCTACCAGCAGGATTCCGCCCCCGCTCACAAGGCTAAGAGTACGCAGCGCTGGCTGGAAAGCAATGTGCCAGAGTTCATTGCTGCGGAAGATTGGCCCTCAGGGAGTCCGGACCTCAATCCTTTAGACTACAAGTTGTGGGACCTGCTAGAGCAGTTGGCCTGCTCCAAAGCCCACCGTAATATCGAGTCCCTGAAAGCGGATTTGATCCGATCAGCGGCAGCTATTCCTTTGGAAGCTGTGCGTGCAGTGATAGATGAGTGGCCCGCGAGATTGAAGCAGTGTGTGAAGGCCAAGGGGGGACATTTTGAATAAAACTGTTTGATTATGAATTCTAAAAATGTTGTCGAATAAATAATATCTTTCATATAAATATATCTTATCTTGTTTCATTTTTATCATGAGATTATCATGGGACAGAACTTATGGCACGACTACGTATTTATCTTACTGTAAATAACAAGTGAAAAAATTTTCAGCCTTATCCGCTTTTTTTTTTAATTCACTAACGCTCTAAAAATGAATATTTCAGCCGCAGTAAAGAATCAACGTTGGCGGATTTTGGTTCTTGACATCCTTTACGATCGGTTACGATGCCTAGAGTACGGAGACCTGTACGATTTCGTCTGTGAGTTTGATAGGGGCCGTATAGTGGGACTTCGGGAAGCTGGACTTTCTTTTCGGGCAGTTGCAGTTAGAGTGCAAAGAAGTGTAGACACTGTGGTTAGGTGTTGTCAGGCAGGGCTTCGAGAAGGCCGTACGCAAAGAGCAAGGGGCACTGGACGCCGCCGTAGAACAACAGACCGTGAAGATCGCCGCCTAAGATTGTTGGCCTTAAGGGACCGTTTCTCCACTACCAGGTCCATTGCAAATGAATGGTTTGCAGAAGACGGAAGACCTATTGGCATGCGAAGTGTTTACCGACGAATTAGAAGTTTTTGCTTGTTTTCATACCGGCCACACTGGGTCCTCCCTTTAACTCGAGAACACCGACGTAATCGCCTTGAGTGGTGCAGACAACGGTCACTCTGGGATCAGGAATGGAACAGTATTGTCTTTAGTGACGAGTCTAGATTTTGTTTAGGCATGCACGATGGTCGTGCCAGGGTTAGAAGGCGACGTGGTGAAAGGTGGAATCCACAGTTTTTTGTTGAAAGACATGTTCATCACACTGTTGGAGTTATGGTTTGGGGTGCTATAGCTTATGGTTCCAGGTCACCTTTAATCTTCATCAGAGGTAACATGAACGCGCAGCGTTATATCCACGAAGTTCTAGAACCCCATCTTTTACCCTATCTTGACACCCTGGCAGATCCAACTTTCCAACAAGATAATGCCCGACCACATGTTGCAAGAGTCACAATAGACTTCTTTCAACATAATGATGTCACATTGTTACCATGGCCACCAAGATCTCCCGACTTATCCCCAATTGAGCACGTGTGGGATATGATGGGTAGGAGATTGCTCAATTTGCAACGTCCTCCTCAGACTCTAGAAGCACTTCGAGAGGAGTTAGTGGTTGCCTGGAATGAGATACCACAGGAGGACATCGACCACCTGATCAGAAGCATGCCTAGGCGCGTTGGGGAATGCGTAGCACATCAGGGTGCATCCACACATTATTAAAGGTCAAAGGGCTTTAAAGCAGTGCAATCATTTTGAAATTTTTATCATTTACTTATTATGCTTCATTAAGGTCTTATACAAAATTTTATTAAAATAAAACCATTTAAACTGGGTGTTCGGATTTATATGTCACTTAGTATATAAGACCGCCCTCGTGAGAAACAATTGAATTTTATTTTTTTCAGGACCATCGTCGAAGAAAATCGACAAACTACGAAATATCAACGAAGCTCCGGCATCTCCAGAACAGTGGGATCGTCTGATAAGCAAATCTCTCACGGGCAGCGACTTCGATCTGCTGGTGCACCACGAAAACCAAGATCGCGAGTGTTGTCAAAGAAAAGATCCAAAGTCGCCGTCTTCCATTTAAGTTCCTATTTTTTCTAGTCAATATGATGTGATTATGTCTTCGAAAAACATATTTAGTTATTTAGAAAAGGAAGGATAGTTATGAGGAGCAAAGGATGTTCCTAGCTCGAATAGTACTTATACTTTTGCAACTGTGTTAGGGAAAGGTTCCCACGTTTTATGCCTATCTAACTTTGGCGAAATCCCGTAAGATTGGGCGATAAAACAATCACTCTAAGTGAATCTCGTATTTTGCTCAGTTTATATTTTTGGTTTCTAAGCGATCTTAATGTACTTTTAGCTGCAGCAAAGAGAGCTGAAAGACAAAAATGCACTGAAATCTTGACCTGCTAAACTGCAGCTGTCATGATTCTCCTATAGTAGGGATTTTCAATTTATATACGTACCTTTCAGGTTTTTTGAAAGATTTTTCTTAGAACTTAAGAATTTTTCTAACTACAAAGTTAAAGCCACTCGCAGATATCTATGATAAACTTCCAACCTCAATTCCTTATAATTTTTGAGTGAAAATACTTTGCTTCCACCATTTCATTAATGTTGTGCAATGTTATCCTTGGATCTTAAGAAAAATATATGGTTTAATATGTTTGATAGCACAATATATTTGAATGTTTAATACGAATATAAATTGATATATGTATATACAATGTGTTTGGTCACGACATACCGATATTTGAGGGGGATATTTTTTAGCTATTTTTATCACCAAATCCACCCCCTATAATGTCATACCTCACCCCCTCTTGAAATGGATCCATACCGCTGCGAACGAAATTAGGGCTGATGCGGCCATGGTCTGCCGCTCAACATGACACATTGTTTTGAGAACAACAATGTTCATAACCAATAATGGAGGACATTTTGAACAGCTTCTGTAACATTAAACATGTCCAAACTCTCTATAAGAAACATTGATTTGTCATTTTTATGTATATAAAATATGAAAACAATTTGCATTTTATTACACCCATTTTGACCCATGTTAGATAGCATTCATTGCATTAGCACAAAAAAGGTACAACTTCACAGACTAGTTTTTGAATGGTGCGTGGAAATGCACAAAAGAATCAATTTTCTTTCACATTTCTTTTCTATTTTTGTCTGCTTTTAAGTTTGTTTGACGTTAGTATCAAAACAAGTTTTTCATTAATCGCTAGGACAACATGTCATCGTGCAAATGATACCAAACTTATCATTCTGTGACAATTACGTACGCAGTTATTACAATTTTCATACATGCACTACCGTAATCGTAACGTAAAAATAAAAATGGCTGCCATTTCAACGGGGATGAGGTAGGGCATTGTAGGGAGGTCGATTTGTCGATAAAAATAGCTGAAAAGTACCACTCTTAAATATCGGTATGTCGCGACGAAACACATTGTATATATACTAATTGACATATAAATCCGAACACCCAGTTTAAATGGTTTTATTTTAATAAAATTTTGTATAAGTACTTAATGAAGCATAATAAGTAAATGATAAAAATTTCAAAATGATTGCACTGCTTTAAAGCCCTTTGACCTTTAATAATGTGTCGATCCACCCTGATGTGCTACGCATTCTCCAACGCGCCTAGGCATGCTTCTGATCGGGTCGTCAATGTCCTCCTGTGGTATCTCATTCCAGGCAACCACCAACTCCTCTCGAAGTGCTTCTAGAGTCTGAGGAGGACGTTGCAAATTGAGCAATCTCTTACCCATCATATCCCACACGTGCTCAATTGGGGATAAGTCGGGAGATCTTGGTGGCCATGGTAACAATGTGACATCATTATGTTGAAAGAAGTCTATTGAGACTCTTGCAACATGTGGTCGGGCATTATCTTGTTGGAAAGTTGGATCTGCCAGGGTGTCAAGATAGGGTAAAAGATGGGGTTCTAGAACTCCGTGGATATAACCCTGCGCGTTCATGTTACCTCTGATGAAGATTAAAGGTGACCTGGAACCATAAGCTATAGCACCCCAAACCATAACTCCAACAGTGTGATGAACATGTCTTTCATCAAAAAACTGTGGATTCCTCCTTTCACCACGTCGCCTTCTAACCCTGGCACGACCATCGTGCATGCCTAAACAAAACCGAGACTCGTCACTAAAGACTATACTGTTCCATTCCTGATCCCAGAGTGACCGTTGTCTGTACCACTCAAGGCGATTACGTCTCGAGATAAAGGGAGGACCCAGTGTGGCCGGTATGAAAACAAGCCAAAACTTTTCGTCGGTAAACACTTCCCATGCCAATAGGTCTTCCGTGTTCTGCAAACCATTCATTTGCGATGGACCTGGTAGTGGAGAAACGGTCCCTTAAGGCCAATAATCTTAGGCGGCGATCTTCACGGTCTGTTGTTCTACGGCGGCGTCCAGTGCCCCTTGCTCTTTGCGTACGGCCTTCTCGAAGCCATGCCTGACAACACCTAACCACAGTGTCTACACTTCTTTGCACTCTAACTGCAATTGCCCGAAAAGAAAGTCCAGCTTCCCGAAGTCCCACTATACGGCCCCTAACAAACTCACTAAGTTGACGAAATCGTACAGGTCTCCGTACTCTAGGCATCGTAACCGATCGTAAAGGATGTCAAGAACCAAAATCCGCCAACGTTGATTCTTTACTGCGGCTGAAATATTCATTTTTAGCGCGTTAATGAATTAAAAAAAAGCAGTATAAAAACCGGAATGTCCAACTGATAAGGCTGAAAATTTTTTCACTTATTTACAGTAAGATAAATACACTCACCAACTTTTATTAAAATAAAACCATTTAAACTGGGCGTTCGGATTTATATGTCACTTAGTATAGACATACATACACTTTTTTATGAATCTTTGCACTAATCATGTGTTCATATAGCTTTGAAATGACCAAAAGAAAAGACCATTAAATAACAATAGGAGAAAATAATTTTTTCCTCCCTTTTAAGTACACTTTCTAATAATTCTGCTTTCAATTCACTACAGTTTCTAATGGCCTGTTTTCTCAAATATAAAATGCTGTATAATAGGTGTAAGGATATTTTCTGTGACTAACAGCGCTTTAACGCTACGTGATTTTATAGGAAAAATGCCAACTTTATTTTTTTTCTGTGATTAATATTGATATTGTTATGTTATGATATACCGTTTGTGTCATAAATAAAACACGCCGGTTATATTTCAGCAATCATTCATTCCAGGATGATCAAAATATTTCATTATAAAAGTGACCTAATGGAACAAGGTTCCGAAGAGATGGCGTAATTTTAACGAAAGTAACATGTTTTTTTTTTTTAAATATCGCTCTCTAATAATTATTGTACGAGCCTTAAAATAATTTTCATTTCGCCCAGTCATCGTGAAAAAAGTATCAATTCTTTTAGGCTGAATGGTTCCTGAGATACAGCCGATGTCCTGTTTTAACAGCGCGTTCGATATATGATCTATATTATGTACTGTATAGTAACAAGATATACCGAGTGACAAAAAAATTTAAACACCTACGTAACCGGCTAATTCTACGCACACTAGGCATTTCGAGCAATCACAAAAAGACTTCTTAATAAGCTACACGAAATTTAACATTTAACTGACACCGTAAATGCACGAAAACTGAATGCCTCTTCATCACCAAACAATACACCCAGCCACCACAAAAATTTAACATAAGAACCTGACCATTTCATCACTTGCTATTCATTCAATTCAATTCAATGGACTTTATTGTAACACATACATAATTATGTATCCTTACAAATGGCGAAGTCTGGCCAATGGCCATTTATACTTAACCATAAATGTCAATGCTTATTACTACCTTCAAAATAAAATAAAAAAAAAACTGAAAAAGAAAAGGAAAAAGAAGAATAATAGTAAAAGAAGAATTAATAAATATGACATAATGCGTACGATTAGAACAAAAAACATAATACGTACGATTCAAAGAGAGGACAATAACCTAAGAACTCAATAAGTAGTTTTGATATTTTTTTTTAGAAAAGTTGCTGATGAAACATTGTTCGAAAGAGTTGATCAATTTCACCGCATTATACGTAAAAGACCGTTGAAAAATGGCTGTCCTATGTTGTGGCATTGTCAGGAGATTAATGTTGCGCGTATTCAAATTGTGAATTAAATTCCTACGAACAAGCTTTTGCATAAGATAAACGGGAACAGAAGTTTTTAATATTTTTACGACAAATGTAACAAAGTTGTATTTGAAAAGATCAGAAATTTTCAACCAATTCATTGAAGATATTGAGTGAGAAACATGATCGTACCTTCTTAAATTGTTTATGTAACGACTACATGAGTTTTGAATTTTTTGCAGTCTGTATTTTGTGATTTCATCCAGACAGGGATAATAAACTATGTTGCAGTAAGCAATTTTACTGAGTATGAGTGACTCGCATAACATTTTCTTAATTTTTCTATTTAAAACAGTTTTACTTGCATATAGAAGCCTGAGTTTTAAAATAACTAGACTTACACACATAGCCAACATGCTCCTGAAATCTGAAATCTTCATCCAAGTACAAACCTAAATTTTTTGCAGAATGGGAAAATATTAGGATACTATTATTTAGTGATAAATTTAACTTTGATTTGAGGAAAGTACGTTTTTTCTTGGAGCAAAAAAGTATAGCTGTCGATTTCGATGCGTTTAGATGTAAATTATGTTTTGCAGCATATGTGCATAAGTATTGCACATCTTGATTGATAAGGTTGTTAGCTAAATGGTAGTTGTTCGGACAGAAATTATAAAAAACCTGCATATCATCAGCATTATGATTGACTAGAACAATGTTGAAGGGTGTTAGAAATTTCAAAGGTGTATATAAGGAATAAAAGTGGACCTAATATGGATCCCTGAGGCACGCCGGAACAAATCGGCCTTTTGTCTGAAAGTTTATTTTGTATGACGAGATATTGATGTCGTTCATTTAAATAGCAATCTATCCATTCCAGAACCAAGTCGTCACACCCAATGTATTTACATTTAGAAACTAACAGCTTGTGATTCAGGGTGTCAAAAGCCTTGCTGAAATCCAATAAGACTAATGTAGTTGCTTCTTGCCTATCCGCCGCTGTTAGTACATCGTCACAAACCCGTGCCAAAGCGGTAGTGGTACTGTGACCCTTTCTAAAGCCTGATTGATTTAATGGCAAAATGCTGCGTTCGAGTAAATACTCATTCAACTGCATATAAACTATTTTTTCTAGAATTTTTGATAGAGCTGACAGCAAGCTAATAGGTCGGAGATCACCAGGAACCTGGGGATTGGGAATCTTTGGAAGAGGTTGCACTAATGGCAAGATAAATCTATACGTGAAACATGCTTGAATTCTAATAGACATACGTAGGTGTTCAACTTTTGTGTCACTCAGTATATTATTATAATGTTATGCAAAGCGTGAAATCTGACTTTATCAAATGTTATCGCTACTCATTTTTATGATATTGAATGGGATTAAAATAGTTCTCAGAAAAACAAATGGTTTTATTCCTAACATTTATATTTTCAAAATCATTACAATCACAATTTCAAAAACTTGATGTGGTCAAGTTTACTATATACAAACCAATTTGATGCAATAACCAATCACTTATCACATTTTTTTCAGAATACGTGAACTTTGCAGCATTTAATTTCAGTATCCGTTAATTATGATTCAAATGGATAATGTCACAAAATGCTGCAGGGCAATCCTTCCCTAAACGTGCCCTACATAGGTGTTGCAAGTTATCGAATTTTTATCACCAATAAAAGTAATACTATCTGTGTATATACCTGTATATTATAGAACAATAAAAAAAACAATGATATTTCTGGAGCAGTACATAAAAAAATAACAAAAAAAAGGTTTTATAAGATGCTCCGTTACCATGTTACAGGGTGTAGCAAATGTCTATGCCCCTAATGACTGAGTAAGGACAAAACATGAAGAGGTTTATTTGGAAATTTTAACTTGAGTTAAAGGTTAAGGTCATCTTTGGGTGATCACCTCAAACTTGACAGATGTGCTGTCGAACATGTTTTGTCTTTATTTAACCTCGAAATGGTCTTGAATTCAATAGTCAATGATTTTCGGACGTAAAATTTGGATTCCAATAAAAAAATGGGGTTCCATTTGAAAAATTTCGCTTGACCTTTACATGACCTTGAAGGTGGTGGTCAAGGTCATCTTCACTTTGCCTCCTAAAACCCCACAACTTTTGTTTGGAACTTTTTTTCTAGAATGCGGAGTTTTCTAAATATTTAAGTCAGGAAATTAGAATGATATTTCAAAATTAATATGAATGCTGTATTTTAAGCGGTGAATACTGTAAATTTGGTGTTTCAAAGTACCTATGTGTTATATGAAATAAGTGCAATTATACAGGGTGTTCCATAATTATTGCGACAAAATGATAGGGGTTGTAGAGGGCATCAAAATGAACAATTTTGCCTTATAAACCCCTGTTCGGAAATATGCCGTTTGGGCTGCAGCAAAAAAAAATATCAGTTTCTTGAAACAGCTTACCTACAGTAATTGCTCAAAGTGTCCTCCATCTTGCTCAATACACAGCTGTGCACGATTGTTCAATGATCGGCGAACTCTGTGGCATACCCCCAGTATGTCCTGAACATGTGCGGACGCGGCCATGACTCTTCCCAGTAGCTCTTATTGGTTGGGAACAGGAGTTTCATACACCAAAGCTTTCAGATGGCCCCAGAGAAAATAATCCAGTGGGGTCAGGTCGGGTGACCGCGCAAGCCAAGGTACAGGGCCACCTCGGCCTATCCACCTATTTGGAAATTTGTCGTCCAAATACTGCCGCACTTGTAAAGAAAAGTGGGCTGGAGCGCCATCGTGTTGAAACCACATGTTGGCTCTTATGTTCAGTGGCACATTTTCTAATAGTTCCGGTAGCACATGCTGTAAGAATCGACCATAAGCATGCCCATCCAAACGTGGTGGAAGTAAATATGGCCCGATGATATGCTCGTCCACAATGCCGCACGAGATGTTAATTGAAAACTGATGTTTGTCTCCATGGATGGCTATGGCATGAGGGTTTTCTTCATCCCAAATGTGACTGTTGCGGCTATTAAAATAACTGGCCTTTGTAAAACAGGACTCGTCAGTGAACAAAACGAGTGACCAAAGTTTGGTTGCCTCAACTCCTGCTGCAGCCACCAACGACAAAAACGTCGACGCGGCAGATAGTCCTCTGGACCCATGGCTTGGACTTTTAAAAGGTGGTACGGGTGTAGTTGCTGGTCATGGAGAACCCGCCAAACAGTAGTTTGAGACGCTCCCACATCATGTGCAATAGCACGCACCGCTGTACGCGGATTGGCCTCTGCATGATGCAGAATCGCTTCCTCAAATTGCGCCTCGTGAAGGGCCGCCCTGCTCCCGCGAGGTGTCTGATGCTGCCACTGACACGAAGACGTCCATGAATCCTTGTAAAAATGGCGTGATGCGAATGAGGACATTCTGGAAACCGTTGGGCGTAGATTCGCGAGGCTCCTCTTCCGTTACCACCAGCTTCTCCGTAAATTAAATGCATATCCGCATACGAATAACGCTGCATTTTAACACTATGGTACTGTTACTTACTATCTAGTTTGACGCACCACTCAGATAAATTAAATGAATCGGTGTGGAGAATTTACGATAACAAAAATGAAAACACAGCAGGCTTTTTTTTACAAACCGGCGAGACCATGAAATGTGCTAGACGAACATTTTGCAGCTGGTGAATTTTTTGTTTCTCCTATGAGCTCTTAAGGTAAAATTAGCGGTAGTGCTCAAACGGCATATTTACGAACAGGGGTTTATAAGGCAAAATTGCATATTTTTATGCTCTCTACAACCCCTATCATTTTGTCGCAATAATTATGGAACACCCTGTATAAAACTATGGATAATGTGAATATCAGCATTCATTACAATAACTCATATATTTCAAGTAATATGGATAAACATTATTTTATTGACTACAACAGACTTTTACCACTCACCAAACCTGTTTTTTCACACTCTACACATGCTTGCTTGTGACTTCATGTTCCCAACCTCGGGTGCCGCGATTGTGAAACAATCTGCCTGAGGAGGGTTCTCCCAGTTCTATTAACCTTCGGCAGTTCGCGATTTCTTTGGTATAATATTTAAAAAAATGGTTAGGTGGGAGCTTAAAACTCTACCTTGTAAGATCTAACATAATTAGAGAAACACTTGTAGGTATTAAAAAATTTGGCGGGTGATAAAACTCCGTTGTAGTCATAATCACTCCGCGAAGGGATCCAATATCACATATATACTACTTTCTTGACTGATCAGACACAATATTGTGCTTAGCCCAACCATTTAACAATAAAATTTCTACAAATATGCAACAGCTATATTTGAAGCAGCTTACTGCCTGCTTACAGCTTGCAAGATACGCAAAATATACAAGAATAAATTGATTATATCCATATACAAATTGATAGTTGCCAAGATATACTCTTCTGGTGATAGGGTGTTCATGATCAGCTGTGTGTCAAAAATGATAAAGAAACAGAATAGCAGTGCACCTCCAAGAGACAGAGCTATTTCGAAAACGGACGATTGTATGAACGCTTGCATGAGTCCACCCACGATGAGGATACAGAGTCCAGCGAAAAGCCTGAAAGAAAAAGCAATAGCGGCATGTTTGAAAAATATTGTAAAGTCGTCGGTTAATTGGTATTACTCGACAAAGACAAAGTACAGCGGACCCCCGATAATCCGGCCCCTGTCTAATCCGGCGCCACCTGTAATCCGACATGTCTTTGAATATGTATTACATATATACGTATTTGACAATCTTCGCTAGTGTAGATCACGCAGGTTTGAACAGGTTACTACTTGTACGCGCCACCGCTATTGTAAGCATTGTTTTACTTAGTTTGAATTTGACTACTGGTGATAGCGGTACGGCCTAGCGTGCGTTCAGTGTTTACTATTTATTCATTGTGTATTAAGTATAGTACCTAATAATGTCATCACAAACAGAACAGAAGCGAAAGCACAAAACATTGACAATTAAAGCAAAATGTGATATTTTAGACCGCTTAAATCGCAATGAAACGTGCAGTAGTTTAGCAAGTGAATACGGCGTATGCCGATCTACAATTTATGACATTAAAAGAAACCACGAGAAGATCAAGAAGTTCGTGTCGACTACTGACTGCGGGCCAGGCAAGAGACACATTCAAGAAAGCTGAACATCAAGAAGTGGAAGAAGCTTTGTACATGTGGTATCTTCAGGAGAGAAATAGGCATGCACCAATTTCAGGACCCATGTTGGCCATGAAAGCTAAGTTCATTTATAAGGAAATAACAAAAAAAGATGATTTTGTGACCAGCAAAGGATGGCTAGAACGTTTTAAAAATCGTCATGGTTTACGTTTAATGACTATTACAGGAGAGAAACTTTCTAACCATGTCACCTGCATAGAGCCCTTTAAATTAAGATTTTTGCAAAAGGTGAACGATTTAAATCTTGACCCGTCACAGGTGTACAATGCAGACGAATCAGGGCTTTTTTGGCGTGTGATGCTTAACAAAACTTTCGTTTCTCGTAACGAAAAATCCGTACCTGGACGAAAAGTAAAGAGCGTGTAACCATACTACCATGTGCTAACGCTGCAGGCACACACGCGCTTAAGATGGTCATTTGGAAATCTAATAAACCACGGGCATTCAAAAACATTGATTTACCTGTACACTATTACGGGCAAAAAAGTGCATGGATGACAAAACACCTTTTCAAAAAGTGGTTTGATGAATGCTTCGTACCTGAAGTTAGAAAATGGTTAAAAGATCATAATTTTCCTCAAAAAGCGTTGTTGCTTCTTGATAAAGCTCCCGGTCATCCGTCTGTAGAAGAACTAACAACTGAGGATACATGCATCACTGCGATGTTTCTTCCGCCAAATTGCACTGCACTGATTCAACCAATGGACCAGAATATCATTCAGTTTGTCAAGCAAGACTATAAGAAAAACCTACTTCTGAGAGCCGTATCAAAAGACCAACCAATAGAAGAAAGAATTTAATTTGAAAGACTTGGTTTTTGCTCTTTGTCAATCGTGGAATGCGTTACCCCTCAACTATTTTTTTTTTTTTTTTTTTTATACTCCAACTACCACGAAGGCCTAAGGCCTAAGCACCCATTGGGTACCGTGGGGCTATGGGGGATACATGGGAAAGGGGGGGACGCCACACGGACTCTGGCGAGGGAACACGTGTGCATGCAACATGCACACATTCTGGCTCCGCCTACGAGAACCGCCGGGTGGTACCTCCGCGTTCGACAGTCAGAGACCATCTACCACCTACGGACAATCACAACATCCATGGCCAAGAGAAACATTTCTCCTGGGACGGGACTCGAACCCGCACAGCGCACGGCGGCTGATCAGGAGACCGAAGGGTCTACTACTGCGGCCACCGCTGCTGCCTAAAACAAACACACAACATCCATGGTAAAAAGTTATGGCCAGATATAGTCACCACTCCTAGCAACGTTCCACAAATCAGTGTTACTTCGGAAGTTATAGAACAAGTCGCTACTGAAACACAGATAAGTCCGGAAGATTTGGAAATCTGGTGCCGCGGAATGGATAAAGAGGAAAATGTTTTTCATGAAATGTCTGACGAAGAGATTATAAAAGAGGTTTCTAATTATACAACAATCAGGAAAATAACGACCACGTGATTGCAACTGCAGCACAAGACGCAATTAACGCCTTTGAGCTAGGTTTACAATGGGCTGAAGAGAATGGTACATCCTACAACGAACTTTTGAGAAGACTGAGGGACAAAGCTCTGATCTCGTGTTATAACAACATTAAACAAACAAAAATTGATGAATATTTCCAAGCTTCATAATTTGATAAATTCATCAATGATTTTGATTGATAATTCTTGATTATTTTGGTACATATGTATGTGCATTTATGCTTAATTTTATAATAAAACGTAAGCTCCCTATTGTTATTTAATTTACTAAATTCGACATACATAAACTATGTATGATTTGTACTTCAAAGTACATACATATACATAACATATATAATCTTACCATTGGATATGTAATTTGTCGGATTACAAGGTACCCTTTTGTAAAAAATTCCGGACTATAGGGGGTCTTAGGCAGTGCTCTATAATCCGACAAATTCGATAGTCCGACACTGCCCTGCATAATGTTTGTCGGATTACCGGAGGTCCACTGTAATGTTGAATATTTTGTGGATTCACACTGTTTCGCGATACAAATCGCCTAATAACCTAATACAGGAGATAGCTGGAATATAGTAGCCAGAATTATAGGATATTATTACTATGACCTGGCTATATTGTTACATATGTTTGACAATTTCCTCAGTCATTTTTGCCTGATTCTGCAGTCCTGATTAGCGATTAAAAAAAGCATGACGACACATTGCAGATAAGATTGCCTAGATATAGCTGGGCAATATGTTCATAATGGCTATGCAAAAGCTGCCATAATTATAGCCAAATATTGATCATTTAAAAGCTTGATAATGTTGATAGAAGAGTCGCTCTCTGGGTCATTCTTAGGAGAATAAGTGCGTAAATCTCACCGTCGCCTCACCACCAAAAACGACATAACTGCGACGAAACATTCAATGATATGAAAAACAAAGAACTTGCCTAAATGGATACTTTTACAAACTCAGAAAACCTGTCACTTTCTACTAGTTACTACACTCCCTCATTTTCGTGAATTGGCAGATTTGTTAGATGGTGAATTCGACTCTAGTACCAAAATTTTTTTTATTTTCTAATTGAGTATCCGATTTAAATTTACTTACGCAGAGTGTGTTGCTGAAAAGTCATATTTGGTCTGGAAGGTAAACAATGTCAAGCCAGCAAGCACAACTAATGTCAATACAAGTGCTTGAATAACCAGTGCTTGAGAGTAGAATGTTACAATGACACCAACTGTGTATGCTTGAACTACAGTCTGAAAAAGAAAATATTTATAGGGTTCTAAACTACTAACACCTTTAGATCATTTTATTATTTTACACCTTTTTGTGCAAAATAGATCATATTTACATGGGCATTATTACAATGAAGATTATTAAGAGGGGTTCCTGCAGAGGGGCCATGCCTGCTGTGTGTATCTGATTGGACATTTGCATAGTCTGATTTTATATACAATTTTGGAGATTTTCAGACTTTTGCTCACTAGGATTCAAATTAGCTACCACCACTTTTCGAAAAGTTTGTGCTGCAGGCACATTTTCACAAAAAGTTCTTTGCCTATGTCAGCCCTCCTGATAAAAATTCTTGCAAGTACCTGTGATAAATACATTAAGTTAAATACTCACAAATGCTGCCAACAAAATCAAGTTTGTGGGTGACTCTCTCCTCTTTATATGTAAAGGAATTAATATAATAATACTGGCAAGAAATGATACCATAACCATCCAATCACTGAAAAAACATAAGAAAAATAAAAATTAGTAATGCAATTAGTATCGATTTTTGAAAATGTATAATTTTCATCTTCTTGGTAATTTGGACTACTAAATTTGGATATGGCCACCAAAAATTTTGAAATCTCCTGGACCTGAATGTGGAAATTTAGATTTCGAAATCTGCACTCACAGCTTACCTGGGAAGCATATTCTTCCCAACAATCTATAAGATTCGTCATAATGTTTAATTATACATAATATTCGGGAAACGTTCATCAAAATAGTCTGAAGAATCGTTGGCTCAAATTTCTCGTCCATTTTTATTTAATGCCATTATTTACTTTTTAAGTTGTAAAAAATGAACTCGAATCCTAAAGATTCAGAATTCAAATAAACATATTTGACAGTAGAGGTAAATGACACTCAGTGGTCCTACTAGCTGCCAGTGGATGCATACGCATGTTAACACAATCGTATAGTATTATGATCGCCATCTGTACATTGATAGCGGAACTACACGTAGTATTAACTACCGGTGGATCCAAGTAGGTGTCAACACTCACACAATGTACTCGGAAGTACTATGAGCGCCATCTACAGCAAGACCATAAAAGTACAAGCCTAAAATTTTAGCGACATCTACATATTAAACAAGTTACTACACAGTTTAGTAGTAAACTTTGCAGGACACAATTTCCATGTTATTCGGAGATTGATGAATAAAAAAAACTGTAGGCTCACGTTATTTCGAGCATTGGTTAATTCAAACATGATCATTCAAAATCTTGGAGTGTTATGATGCCGAATTTCGATAAAAAAATAAGAGATCCATGCCTTCTTGACTGGTAAAGCTGCTATACTTACTTGGTATGAACGAAGCTCCTTACAGGAGGAGTGAACATGAATATGCTAGCGATAATAACAGTCAACAGAATTTGAACAGTCAGAAGACTGTACACTTTCCTCATGAAGGCTAGACGAATAGCTTTTGTAGCATTTGCAACATTATTGCGGTATGCAAAATCATCCTCTATACCATCACCATATTCTTTCCCTCCTTGCTCGACATCTTCCTCCAAAATCAGTGGAACGGACTGAGACATTTTGACCAAAGTTTAGCGAAACTGCAAAACAGAAACACTCGTTTTTAACTCATTAAAAATGATAGTTTTATTTGCTGCTATGTTGACGTGGCTTGCTTTCTATTATCTTTCTAAGGAAACGATTAATACACTGACTCCACTTCTGAAATAAAGCTGCTACGAGAAATATGTTATTGGAAATTTACCTTCACGACTTAACTCACAATCTGTGTATCTATATACTTTCTCTTTTAGATTTTGTATTTGTTTTGGTTTATCTTTGACGTTTCGAGATTATGCTGACATTTAGTTAATAGAGATGGGCAAATCCATCTCAAACGGTTCATTAGAATGATTCGGTTAGGACAGGGGTGGATTCAGGGCGAATTATTCAAAAAGCACAAAGAATCGATTACTTATTTATTGTAATCATCTCGAGTAGCTGTTAGCAGCACAGATAGCCAACCATGGACAGCTGCTTCGTGCTATTTGGCAACTCGTCAGCAAGGTGTAGGTTTAGTCTCGGTGAACAAGGAATGAAAGCTGAGTCTCAAGGTTTATCGGAATAAGTGCCATCTATTACCAGAATCGACCACTGTGAAAGTGAAAACAGCAAGCTGCCTGTTGGAACTGTATCCCAGCTCGCATTGTTAGCTTTGTCATCGCTAGATGCCGCCGATTTTGGTGTTATAGTAGTTCCAGACCACTCGCCATGCAATGTTAATTTCACCAGACTATATTGCAGGACCGGCTTTAGGCGCTAAGAAATAAGTAAGTAAGTACATAACTCTAAAGCGGTTCTGGAAACGTGTTATTAGGTAAATTTTGCAATAGGGGATGTGAGAAGAGAAACTAGCATCGATTTTCATTATTTATTGCACTTGGCTTGTTATAAAAAATGTCGCAAATATCTCACAATTTGCTAAATTAAATTAAATTCTTTACACGAATACATATGGAACAAAACACGACTTCGTATGGTGTTTCATATATTATAAAACCATAATTCAAATTCACCTAATTACTCAATTTTTATGTTTTCTTTTTTTTTCATATACCAACTTACGCAAACGATTCATACACTTTATACCATGACACTAACTTATAATATACAAGGTGAATATAATCCAACCAAACGTCTTTAGCAGTTTTCCAACATCAAATCCAGTCAATTCAGTCTTGCACACATTTCTACAGCATTTAGATAAGGCACAAATCACACGGATAAAACTTAATATTAGCAATGAAGTCGAATAGGTGGATTTTTATAGCACACCAGCACGATGGTTCGAAACTAAACTGGAGGTAAATTCTTGAAAGGAAGGGAAAAGAATACAAGGTAGGTACGGTTCTGTTAAGCTTCGTGGAACTGCATTTTGCAACATTTAGCAGAAGAAAAAGTGTGGGAGGCTCGCCATCGTCCATCTCTCATCTCTAAGGACGATTTTGTGATTCGCAAATTTATTTAATAAACGTCAAAAGGTGTCAGAAGAGTAACAAAACTATCCCCACCTTAGGTATCATGCTCCCTCGTTTCAAAGAATTGGCCTCATATTTCAGTTTTCTGACCTCGGACAAGCATTCAAGCTGTAATTCTTTGGGCTATTTTGAGACTATTTTGACCTAGGACGATTTTTGAAAAATCTAATTTTGAAGATAGAAGGCAAACAAAATATCTTTTACTCGCTAGTTGCAAATCAATAATACAAGTCGTGTCTCGGTGAAGTTGGCAGAACGCCCCAAAAGATGATATTTGTGAATTTAATTGAGGGCAAATTCAACTTTTATTTCAAATATATTTATGTTTTCTATAACTGTTTATGGAAAGATAACAAAACCGACGCGTTTTTATTTCGAAATTGTCTGCAAAATCACGTGTGTGTAGCAAAATATATGATGACAAAGTTGAAGTTGAATGGTCTGTTTATTCACTTCGATAAAATAAAGGTAGGCTTTGTAGAACGAATGATAATATTTTACGTTGCTAAGAAACTGATTTCTGAGGTTTAAATCAACTTGCAACGCATTGGTGTTGTTAACAATTGAAAATGGCTCGAAATAAGAAAAGTGATCATATACTAACATTTAAAAGGGCACAATGCTTGCCAAATCGCTAACAGGAATCGTACAAAACAACGGGATCTGTGTCTCAAAAACGCAGAACTGGAAAACGCCCGCGTTATTCCAGTACCAACTTAAGAGCCTTAAAACGCATTATCATGGAAAATCGGCGTGCTAATTATAACGAATTGAAAATATTATGAAATCACGCAACCACAAAAAAGTTTTCAGGAGTAACTTGTCACAGAGCTGCCCAAAAACTGGAATTTAAAACTCACAAGGTAGGCTTAAAGTATTTTTTTATTATTCGTTTTTAATTCAGTATTTCTAGGCAAAAGGGAAGCTCTTACAACAAAGATGCAGAACAAAACAGACTAGCGTGGGCCAAAAAACCCAAATTATTGTCTCCGAACTCCATTATTTGGAGTGATAAAGCCAGATTTGAAGTATACATTGGTGATAGTAGGAATCATGTTATAAGAACTAAAGATGTGTTTCAGAATGAAAATGAAAAAAAAGTTAAGTCTCCGGCTTCTGTTAAGATTTGTGGATCCATGTCAGCAAGTGTAGTGGGGAACTAAAACTTTGTCGAAGGTATTATGTATTGATGTGCTTCAAAATAACTTAATACACCAAATTCAACAAATGCGTTTAAACAATATTGAATGTATGTTCCAACAAGATGGTGCCGCTTGCCATATGGCTAAAAAAGTAAAAGATTGGATGTTAGTAAACAATATTTTAGCTTTAAAATGGATATCGAGTAGTCCAGATCTATCGCCGATTGAAACCTTGTGGCTCCGCAAGTGGTCCAGTTAAGACAATCTGTTTACTTATTTCGTATGACACTGTAATGTAACCTCCAAAAAAAAGTAGAAACAAAATGTAATTCATTCAGGTCAATATAAATGTAGCAGTTTCTAAACACGTTCCGTCAGTTTGACAACACTGCATAACCGCTTACTCACGGAGCCATCTATGAGCGAACCTGTAAGCTAAGCGAGATTACTGTGTTTTTGTTCTAAAGCAGTAGAGTAGGGTAGGCCACTATGAGACATGAGCAACGATGAGACATCTTTATATTTCCAGTCGTTTACGCGATAGCCATCTATCGGTCGCATAATATACTATTCTGTATGCGCATGACCTGAATATACATTTTTCGCGCCGCTGGATCAATCGTCTTCTAGATTTTATGGGGTGTACGTGGCGAGGTCGATTTTTTTTATGTATTGTTTTGATAATTTTTTTTTGAGTGATCTATAATCCCTAAAGGTAAGACAGTTATATGCATTTGTAAATTGACCTTTTAGCTAATTTTTAAATGTAACTCTCAAAAGACAACTTTAGTTTTACTGTATAATAATAATATTTTTTTCCTAAATATACAAATGGGCTACAATAAGACAATTTTTTTTATGTTAAAAAGGAACAAAATAAAGCTAATCCCAATGACTTTCCATGAAAAGCAATTATAAGCATCGCCTGGTTTTTAATGAAGAGGAAGAGAAGGATTTAGTCAATTACATTATTAAATGTTCGAAAATGTGCTATGGGAAAACTACAAAAGATATGGCATATGAGATGGCCCAAATTAATAAAAAAAAAACATTACGTTATCTTGGGATAAGAATAAATCTGCTGGTATCGACTGGTTACAGGGTTTTTTAAAAAGACATGCAAAAGAATTAAGCATACGTCAACCAGAAGGATGTAGTCTTTCAAGAGCAACTACGTTTAACATAATGTAAATTTATTTTTTGACAACCTTGAAAAAACGTATAGTCGGTCTGAGAAGTTTTCTGATGGTACACGGATTTATAACCTAGACGAAACTGGAACAACAACTGTTCAAAAACCAAAAAAAGTTCTGTCGTCGAAAGGTATCAAACAAGTAAGTCAATGTACTAGTGGAGAACGAGGAGTTTTGATGACAACATGTTGCACAATAAGTGCTACTGGTAATACACTGTACCCAATAATGGTGTTTCCCAGAAAAAAGTTTAAAACGACGATTTCCTGTGCAGCTCTGTTACCGATAGACATCATCTAAAGTAGCTCAGACAGTTTCAATGATACACTTAATGATCAGTCATCAAAATTGAAATTGTTTATAAGGCCAGAAATATTTAAGGGATACCCAAAAGCAGGAATGAGAAAGGTTTCTAATAGCCAGCGTAGAAAAATTACCAGCTGCATTCCCTCTGATACCCCTGAGAAAGATATGTTTGAAAAAAACATTGAAAAAGACAAAATAAAAAGAAAAAACAAGGACGACAAACAAAAAGCTGCCACCCGGAATTTATTTGCAAAAAAAAAGAACGTTGATTTCAATGATATATCTTCGTCTGAGGAAGATGGAAGTTTATCTTTTACCGACTCTGACCAGGATTCAACAGACTGGATTCCCGAGGCTGATCCTTCAGCATTTGAAGAACTGGATCGAAATCCCAAACCTAACGACTTTGTATTAGTGTCATTTAGTGCCAAAAATGATAATTTATTCTATGTTGGAAAAGTGATAAATCTGGAAAGTTCCAACAATGAAGTAGAAGTAAAGTTTTTGCGGAAGTCGGTAAAATTCAGCGGACACTTCGTATATCCTTTGGAACCTGATGTAGGAATGGTTCCTTTAAATGACGCTAAAATGATTTTACCACCACCATCTCATTTGGGTAAAACAAAACGTTTACAGGAATATCTAAAATTCGAAATTCAGTTTAGCAATATAAATTTACGCTAAATTTTTTTTACTAAGAAAAATAAATGGTTGTTTGATTTTTGGCATATTTTTCGAAAACCGTCATAGTGCAACATATTCTCGAAATCGCGAATCGCCCAAAGAATCACCATTTGAACGTTTGCTCCATGTTTAGGAACCGTACAGTCAAAATAAATAATCATTTATTAGCTTCCATTTTAGTAATGACGTACTCAACGCTCGCGCAAAATGTTGGCTCAATTTTCCCCCATTTTGTGGAGGAAATTACCATATTGCACGGTTGTACAAAAACACACACATACAAAAATTGTGGCACTATCTTATACATAACGTTAAAGAAGATTGGTTGAATTAAATGTCATTTCCATCAAACAAAAAATAAAAGAATATCACAAACGATAGTTTTGTCACAAATAAATCAAAAATAGCTTCCTTATACTATTTTAATTCGCCTATTTGTCTACAATTCATGAAACTTTGAAATGTGAACGCAGTTTCTGAAATAAATAGGATGAAATATCAAAATTAACTCCTATGTAAATCTATAAATCTATATATGTATATCTCTTCCTCATCCATTTCATTTGGTTTTTTATATATTTTTTGATCTACAAATATCGAAGGCCATAAAATAGAACATTTTTACAAACTGAAAACTTAGAAATGAAAGAAAACAGGTATCTTCTATCACTTCAACTAATATATAGTTTAATAATTGTTTGATTTTTTGTTTTGTAATCTTAAATCTAAGGTGAAAATATCAATAAACGAACTGGTAACAGACCCGCGTGTATACTTAGATTATAAAAAAGAAACTGACAGAAGGTGATGTATCAACAGTCAATATATCACAACAAGGAAAAATTCTCTAACCTCCCTGCTACATTAAGTTTCTTCATAATTTCGAAACACTCGTATCAAAGGCATGCTATCGATGATGCTCCTTATAAACAATTTAATAAATGTACGTTGAAAGCTACGAAGATGGAAAAAACTAGCGATTACGACGTGAATTGCTAGCAAAAAATGAGTAGGTAGGAATTTTTTGAAAAACGTAAGCACGGTGCTGAATGAAACATTTGATAAAACCAAAACAGTAGCGGACAAAAGTTTGGAAACACATATTAACATTATTATGAACTATTTAATATGCTTAGATTAAAATTGTGAAGGAACAGATAATAATAAATATTAAAGTCTACCTTTGTCTCCCATACTAATACAAGATTTATCTTATCAATATTCAAATTCTCTGAAAATAAAGACCACTGTTTTTGTAATGACAAAAGTATTGCCGTATTTACCATTCGTTCTACGATACTCTGATTTTGCGTGCGGTAAATATTAACATCAGTGAGAATTGCAAAAGGAAAAGAATTTTAAGAGACAAAATAATTGAATTAATTAGAAGTGGTGTCAGAAATGTTAACATTTTTCAAAGATTAAAAATGAACAAGGGGACGACATCAAAAATTATTTTTAATAGGGATCAAGCAAGATAATGACCCCAAAATGCGTAAAGGACTGGTTAAGACTAGAAAACGTTTATGTTCTTACATGGCCTTCGCAATCCCCGGAGCTAAACCCTATAGAACATCTCTGGGAGCATTTTAAAAGACAACTGTCAAGAACAACTTAAAAACAATTTATTTGATTACGTAAAAAATATTTGGGAAAATATCCCAACAGACGTCTGTAAAAAATTGGTGTCTTCTATGAGCAGCAGATGTCAGGCAGTGTTGAATGCTAAAGGCTATGCTAGCAAATATTAGCTAAACAGTATTTTTTAAATCTTTTTGTAGAATTATTGTATTTAATTTTATAATTAAAAATATCTTTCCATACATTTGTCATTTCATTTTCGGTCATAAAATATTAATAATACCACAGCAAACACAAATTGTCATTTGTATCTTCAAGACTGTAAGCAAACTATATGAGAAAGAAAAATCGTTTTTAAAAATTACTAAGAATGTTTCCAAACTTTTGTCCGCTACTGTAGCTGTGGAGGAGATATTTTATTCAGTATTTAGTTTATAAGGAGCATATAAAAAAATAAATATTCGGTATATCCGAAGGACAAATATACGCATGGGGCAAGTAAGCAGAAACAAAGATATATTTACATTTTTGTACAAATACCTACCTCTATCTAATCTCACTACAATTCATTTATCTATCTATGGTCATTTACCTGCAGGTCAGAAAATAGTGTAATCAATACGACTGCTATGATAAGTGAGAAATATAAAGTCATTTGAGAGATGCATACATTTGAAATTGGAGGAACTATTTATACAGTAAATTCTTGTGGGCTGATACAAATCATGCACGTATGGCCTTCTCTTAATAATAAAAATTGCACAATAAGTTTTTTCGATAAATAATGTACTCGGCATTCTAACTACTGAAAAAATATTCCTTCAGTTTCAACATACACATACATTTGAAAACTTCGCCATCACTTATTAAAAGAAAAAACGCCGAGACACGTCAAAATATTTGTCAAATGAGACAACTTTTTAACCATGAACTACTTCACCCTCTGCCTCAAGAATCTCAAGAATGAGTAACAGCTTGTTTGAAAGGTTTTTCGAAGTCCTTTAATTTGACATTTGATTTTTTAACAAAACAAAAACACACGAAAATATCACTTTTTATTTCAATAAGTGTTCAAAATGTTGCCCGTTAGAGTTTGCCAAATCTACAATCCGCTTATAATTTAAAACGGAAACTACCAACTTAAACAGCAATTCGGAAGATTAGGCGTGGCAACAACCCGAATTTTTTCCGAATTCTTTTCAGCAACACAGATATCCTGGGCGAACTGTATTTATTGTTATAGCTGTATAGTTATTTGTTGCTGAGGGAAAGAAAGCATTTAATTTGCTGTCAGTTACCTTTGTGACAATCTTGGGATAGTGAAAATTAATTTAATTAATTCCTATAGTAGACCATGCGAAGTATTTAGGGATCACCATGGATTCAGATTTGCGGCTTAAACAACATGTTACGCATTTATCTCGCTTAACATACATGCGTTTGAAGTTATTATACACCAATCGCCATATTCTGAATTTCAAGACTCGCAAAAAACTGGCTGAGACTCTGGTTCTATCGTTAATAAATTATTCAATTGCTGTTTACTTTCCTTGTCTTGATTACGTGACTAGATATCGAGTACCAAAAAATTCAAAATAGCTGCTGTAGGTTCGTTTGTGGTCTGCGAAAGTTTAGCCATGTGTCTAAGAAGATCAATGAGCTTAGATGGTTGAGGGTTGACCAGCTTTTCACATATAACTTACTAATTTTAGTACAACGAATAAAAATCAATAGACTACCTACTTATCTACTAAAAAGGCTGGTACCACGTGGGGAGCTCAATTACAGGAATCTGAGTCATAACTCTGACTTCCATATACCTAGTTATAGGAGCAACATTTTCCATCGTAACTTCACCTACAACGCTGTCAAGGTGTATAATAGTCTTAATAACAATTACAAACAGATGGGAATACCTGCATTCAAGAAAGCCCTTAAGAACCACCTTCTGGGGTCTGCTAGCCAAGCTGACTGATATATATATATATATATATTCTTTGTCTTTATTGTTTTTTTTTGTTAGAGCGGGCTATGTGGAATAGATGTACAAAATATTAAGAATAATCTATTTAAGCTTAAGTATTCATTGTTATGTTTTTCCTTTTGTATGTGTTCCTGCGCTGTGAGGTTAAGTGGCAGACTAGCCAGCTGGCTAAACTTCGCCTCGCAGTGTGGAGAGATTAATAAGGACATTATTATTATTATTATTAATTTATTGATTCAGATTTTACTTCCAAAATGGTTTACCCACTAGCCGAAAGAGTGGAAATGATTCTAATCTGCTAGATCTCCTTAATTGACGCCATTAGACTTTTTTCTATGGGGAAAAACGAATCGAACGATTTTAAAAAATCAAACGTCAAAATCAAGGACTTCGAAAGACCTTTCAAACAAGCTGTTACTCGACACCCCTTGGCATTTAAAATTTTTAAGGGGATGACCTAGGGGGGGGCGAGGGTGAAACGGGGTGAAGTAGTTTTTGGTTAAAAAGTTGTCCCCTTTGACGGGTCTCGACGTTTTTCCTTTTAATCAGTGGTTTTCAATAAATCCGTGGTGAGAAGTTTTCAAATGAACAAAAGATATAAAGTAAACGGCATATGTAAAATATCTGTCTGCAGAGAAAATACATAATTAGTTCTCAATATTACTTGAGAATTAATGGTGATGAACAATTATTAATAACGTGTATAGAAGCACTACTATTACGAAAGCATTTTAAACACATCTGATGGTATCAACGTCAATTGATCTGCAAGCAATACAAACGAATCATTTTCGACAAGTTGTGATTGTTTCTTATAGCTAACATACTGGGCTTACAATAGCCCAAACATTTTTAAGTAAACGTCTATTGTTGTTTCACTGCATGTTATGGAAAATGTAGCAGCTGTCAGTACATATACTCAACAGTTTAATTCTTGAGCATGGCGATGATTTCGAGATTGTCAGTCATGACACGGCAACATGTTAGTGAAAAACCTACCACTAATCGAGCAGTACTCTAAACACTTTATATTAGTAGAAAAAAAATGGTATGTGGAATGATGATTTCGGAAACGTGAAAAAATGATTGTGCCCACCTCAATTTATCATCAATCACTTTTGCTAAACACTCTACTGAGCATCATCTCTAGCCAGGTGGTGCTTACATAGCCATGCTGCTCATCTATGTTGTGTTCGTAGTTCTGAGGGTCCCTACAGTACACCAAAACTGTTAGTAAGGTTTGAACGAGACTATTTTGGGAACTAAATCTAAAATGACTGTATACTGCATTCTTGAAATATATCAAAAGAAATGCACTAACAAAAATTCAAAAGATTTACATATCCAATTCAAAAAAAATATGGTGCGTTTCAATGAGTGTGTTGCTGTCTTCATTCTCGTTTCCCAAGAATACTTTGGGTTTCCACAGTTTTGCCTGACCTTTATTTACCAGCTTAAGGTGATACTTGCGTTTAATATTTTATAGATATGCCTGGAATTTTGTATAAATAATTCAATTTTGAGTGGAAACAGATTCATGGAAAAGTTTGCATACGGACTGTAAAAAGTTTGCTGAAAATTTTTTGAGATATTTGTGTCGGAATTTTGTGGATTTTGTCATACTGATGTGTTATTTCATTTTATAAAACAATTGCAGAAACGTTTTTAAAAATAGCCGTGTGAACGTGATCCTCTATTTAGTTTTATTCACACAGGAAATATGGAGTAATGTTCAAATTCACATATTCATGATAGTGTGAAAAATTGATTACTAGAATTTGACACGGATATGTTGCAGTTTTCCCAGAAGCGTCTTCTCTCGATCTCATACATGTTGCTTTAGAATCTCCACCGTACAGGCAGATATATAATAGGCCATGTTCCTATAACATTTTATCTACCACTATACACTGATTTAAATGTGGTTTATAACCAAATTCGTTAATAGCAATAGAAGTTAAAGTCAAGTTCAAATAATAACAAAAAATGACCTTTATTCGTCACAGTACTACACAATACTAGACTTGACATGAAGAAAAAAAAATAGTGACGAAAAGGCGGAGTGTCATCTTACGCTGTTTTTCACACAGCTATTTTTTGGTTGAAATATCTTTCAAAATTATAACTACCTTTAAACTGGAATCAAGGATATGTGCAGCAACTTGTAGGCAAGCCTAATTCAACGTCTCTTTCTATTGACAAATTTTGATGTAAATTGCATCTAAACCATGAGTTTAATGAGCTAGATCACAAAATATTTCCTCGGACTAACCATACTTGTGCCACTCACGATTTGACTACAGTTAAGGAAATGACGTCATAAAATCTAATACTAAATAGAAAAGCCAAGTTCAATCATAAAACGTTAAAATGTCAACCTTAATAGCAAATCGTCATGAACCACCATCAACTGTCTCATTTCAAACAAGCCCATACTCCCGTGATCAATGTCAAGCCCTATTAGAGAAATATTGTTTTTAGAAAATCGAACTTCGAGCCTGACACTGATACATAGGCGAAAAACAATAACGTAAGAGACTGAAGATAACTATACTAAGTGACATATAAATCCGAACACCCAGTTTAAATGGTTTTATTTTAATAAAATTTTGTACAAGTACTTAATGAAGCATAATAAGTAAATGATAAAAATTTCAAAATGATTGCACGGCTTTAAAGCCCTTTGACCTTTAATAATGTGTGGATGCACCCTGATGTGCTACGCATTCTCCAACGCGCCTAGGCATGCTTCTGATCAGGTGGTCAATGTCCTCCTGTGGTATCTCATTCCAGGCAACCACCAACTCCTCCCGAAGTGCTTCTAGAGTCTGAGGAGGACGTTGCAAATTGAGCAATCTCCTACCCATCATATCCCACACGTGCTCAATTGGGGATAAGTCGGGAGATCTTGGTGGCCATGGTAACAATGTGACATCATTATGTTGAAAGAAGTCTATTGTGACTCTTGCAACATGTGGTCGGGCATTATCTTGTTGGAAAGTTGGATCTGCCAGGATGTCAAGATGGGGTTCTAGAACTTCGTGGATATAACGCTGCGCGTTCATGTTACCTCTGATGAAGATTAAAGGTGACCTGGAACCATAAGCTATAGCACCCCAAACCATAACTCCAACAGTGTGATGAACATATCTTTCAACAAAAAACTGTGGATTCCTCCTTTCACCACGTCGCCTTCTAACCCTTACACCGACGTAATCGCCTTGAGTGGTGCAGACAACGGTCACTCTGGGATCAGGAATGGAACAGTATTGTCTTTAGTGACGAGTCTCGATTTTGTTTAGGCATGCACGATGGTCGTGCCAGGGTTAGAAGGCGACGTGGTGAAAGGAGGAATCCACAGTTTTTTGTTGAAAGACATGTTCATCACACTGTTGGAGTTATGGTTTGGGGCGCTATAGCTTATGGTTCCAGGTCACCTTTAATCTTCATCAGAGGTAACATGAACGCGCAGCGTTATATCCACGAAGTTCTAGAACCCCATCTATTACCCTATCTTGACACCCTGGCAGATCCAACTTTCCAACAAGATAATGACCGACCACATGTTGCAAGAGTCACAATAGACTTCTTTCAACATAATGATGTCACATTGTTACCATGGCCACCAAGATCTCCCGACTTATCCCCAATTCAGCACGTGTGGGATATGATGCGTAGGAGATTGCTCAACTTGCAACGTCCTCAGACTCTAGAAGCACTTCGAGAGGAGTTGGTGGTTGCCTGGAATGAGATACCACAGGAGGACATTGACCACCTGATCAGAAGCATGCCTAGGCGCGTTGGAGAATGCATCCACACATTATTAAAGATCAAAGGGCTTTAAAGCAGTGCAATCACTTTGAAATTTTTATCATTTACTTATTATGCTTCATTAAGTACTCATACAAAATTTTATTAAAATAAAACCATTTAAACTGGGTGTTCGGATTTATATGTCACTTAGTATATTTTTATTTTGAGAATATTGTGAAGATGCGCGTACGGTTCATACGCTCTTTTTCGAGGTGTTTTGCAAAAAGTAATTAGGGAAGTTTTGGTATGCAATCATAAAAATCTAGTCAGACAAATAAATTTTAATCAACATTCGGAAAAAATATTTTTGATACCAAACGAATTTCAACAGATAGCCGTATCGAACTTTGTAGATCCAGAACCGAGGAGGCGATATTTATAAAAGAAAAGTAAATGCCAACAGTACTACTTTAAGGCAAGTTGAAATTTGAACTGGCATCAGAATTTGCTGAAACATATTGTACGTATAGATAGCATATGAGCAGTTAAAAGTGACAGTCAGTGATTTGGTAAGGCTAATTCGAGGAAATACGTTTAAAATGTTATCGAAATCAGGACCTTGGAATATATATTGCAAAACTAAATACAATCGCGGTTACCTACAAATACACTACCACTAAATAATAAAAAAAACACTCGATACTCAATCCCAAACAAGTTTCTGCTTACTTTAACCTCCGCTATTTCAACCAGTACCCGTTCATTCTCTACCATCACTTATGTATGTATGTACAATAATGGAGCGTTTATAAAGTCACCTAAATTAACCCAACTGAATGAAACTTGACTCTTCCACAATGTGATCGGACAGTAAAATTTCCAGTGCAAGTTTCTCAGTGAAATAAAAACAGGAAAAAGTCGTCATGCATTTCGTTTTTTTTTTATATTGAAAGCATCATCACATTGACACTGACACTGATTGACTACCCAGATTATACAGGGTGTCCAAATGGTGTGTCAAAGCTCAATATCTTGTTGCAGAAAAAAAGTTGCGCTACAACCTATAATTATTCTTAGCTATACAGGATGTCCCATAAATTAGTGGCAACATAAACCTGTATTTTTTTGAATGGGACACCCAGTATTTGTGATTTTTAGAAGCGCCTGTTCTTGGCCATTCTGCCAATGTGTGTTTCGGAGGGTTTGTACTGGGTATTTCGGAATATATGGCTACTCAGCTCGCATATACAGGGTGTCCAAATAGTGTGACAAAGCTCAATATCCTCGTTACTATTAGAGTTGCAGACACAAGTTAAATATAAAAGTTGTATCCAAAACTAATGCCAATGTCACACGATCAGTATTTATTGTGTTTCTTTTTTAGTATTCATCATGAAAAACAAAGGAGAATCGGAAAATGTACGCAATAAAAAAAACAGGAGCAAAAATAGAAGGATTGTTACTTAACTAAAACAACGACCTGTGTAACTTGTACTCCTGATGGAAGAGTTTTAGCAATTATGTCAAAGTTAGATTAAGTGACTTCAAAAACCCCAACACAATATAAATTTGAAAATGCCTATTTGTGAATGTGACTCGCTAGCTTCCTACCGTTGTCCTTCGTGGGCGTCTTCCTCGAAGACCTCCTCGGGGACGATGGTTTCTTCCAGCGCCACCGCCTCCTCTATGTTCTCCACAATGCCGCTGTCCTCCGCGAAGTGATTATCCGTATCGACGGGGCATATCACTTCGACGTTTTGAGGGAGGACGAATGGGGTGTCGCGGTGGACTTCGATGCCTTCCGAGCTCCAGCTGTCTATGTCCATTTGCTTGGCGGCCTGGAAAAACCACATATATCAGTTATACCCTATTGCACGAATATCCATCACACATGACAGCTGGTTATCTACTAACACGTCAAAATTCCCCATATCGGCACAGGACATAATTCTGACGGATCCGTCAACGCCAGGTAGACAGAACCGTATTTTGTTTTGGTTCTTGTAAGCAACAGATTCATTTTGTACTTGCTAATAGCTCCTTTATTTAGAAAAGTTCATTTGCATACAAAATACCACAAACAAGTTTTACTAGATTTATACCCGATTCATTATTGACAACGTTGCAGACTAACATAAGAATGTCACTTGCTGATCAGCTGTTTACCTCAGTAGACGTCAAACTGTGATGAATAACTCTTGAAATATGTTACAGTAGCAGTGTTGGGGAGGTAAAGCCTGGCAACCAGTGTTGCCGAACTGAAAAAGGTAGATGGTGTAGTTGAAATTTGGTAGATTCAAGGACAAACTCGGAAGGAGGAGAAATGTCAGGGCCATCGCAAGATCAGTCGAAGTTCATGAAAAAAGTTAATTTTTGTTTTCGGTGCGCACACAATACACGTTTTTTTTTTAGGCCATCTTTTCCTACAAAAATATTGACTTCTTTATTACAACCTAAACGACGACAGGGGTGCTGGAGGCCCAAAGGTAGAATATAAGTGAGAAAAATTAGATTTTAAAAAAGTTGTAAAAATTCTTGGTTATAAGATTAATATTTGTCTGTTTTACCCCCGAAACCGAAGCTTAGTCACCTGGCATTTGTATTTAATATGATATTTAGGGTGGATTTCACCAGGATTGTCAAATCAACAGTCCGTTATTCTGGCTCTACCAAAAATTTCATAGATATTGCTCGTTTCCAAACATTAATTCATTTACTTGCCGTTCATCAGTACCATTATAGCACCGTCAATTGATATTCCCACAAAACCATTCAGGATTTTTGATATCCATACAGCCATAAAGTTGAATATTTTTCATTGTTCAGGAACTGAACAAACATCCACACTATATTTACAGCGATCAAGAATAGTCAAATATATGTCGTAAAGCTACCGGCAAACTTAAAACCTGTAAAAAAAAGAATTTGCAATAACTTTCTTGTTTCACTGAGTACACATTCTAGGTTATTACATTATTTGAATAACAGCTGATTAACTGTCGAAATATACTCTACTATGCTTTATAAGACTATATGTGGAATTTTTCCCAAAAACGTTGCACAACACTAGAAAAAATGCAAATGAAAATTTAATATTATTTCCATGACGCCCCAAAATAGCTCCGTCGGTACCTCGGGTTATACATATTGACAGTAGGGATGTTCGATACGATCCTATATTTAGAAGTATCGATACTTTTGCTTCCCATACCAGATATTTTGGATCAATATTTTTATATTCAACACTTGGGTGTATCGATACATTTCACGAGTATCGTCATCTTTCGATTCGGACTGTGTCAGAAAGAGTGACTAATTTCAGATTACTCTTCTTCTTTGTTTCCTTCCGCTGGATATCGATAATTTTATTCCAATATTTTAGAGTATCGATACTTCCTAAAACGATAAGAATCGATACATATCGATACTTTTCGAGGATCTAAACATCCCTAATCTTGACAGCTTGTCGTTCTTGTCAACTGGGCTGCAGGGTGCGGTGTTGCCTTTACTATCTTACATTTTGCTAAAATCTTATGAAGCTTCAAATGAAATATTGACGAATATGAACGGATATGCATAGAATTTAGAATATAAATTCATATTGCAAATTTCAGATTGTCTATGCATGGACTTGATCTGGATTTTTCGGTATTTTTACCGAAAAGAGGATATTTACCGATAACATCATTCTCCACGATTTTTCAAAATAATTTAAATATTTCTATACTTGCCGAAAAAGAGCTGAAACCAAAAATAAAGCTAAAAGTTAATTTTATGTAGTCTTTATAATTGTATGCCCCATGTCAATCATACATATGCATACACAGGCATGAGAGGCGTAGATTTGGGTTGCCTATGATTACGAACGCACATCCTCATCCCTTACTCCGCTTGCCCTGAACTGTTTTTTGTGCATACAAAAGGTACAGACTGGTAGATTACCGTCTTTGCCTCATCACCGGACAAGCAATAAAGAAACCGAAACCTGTCTGTTTTCAAAATAAATATTTAATTAAAATGAGAGGTGAGTTCATGAGTTCAGGGGTAAAACAGAAAAATATTCACAATCCTATAAGCAGGAATCGAAAAAGGAGTTTCCAGACTGGTTGCAAAGTACTTTGAAAGAGCGACCAGTATGACTCAAAGGTCCTTGATCTACGACTGATCTTGGGATGGCTTTTTGCATATACCGAATTCAACGACACTATCTACCGATTCCGTTCTTTTTTGCCGGTTCGGCAACACTGCAGATGTACAGATCACTTTAAAAGCAATTGATATCCCAGACGTGTTATAATAATAGAAATAACAAGAAAATATAGCAATGTTTGGAGATATATATTTTCATAAATAGGTATTTTTGATTCTGACTTATCATATCTATACTACAACTATTTAAAACTGTAATGACTCAAACGCGTGATCAACACGTGATCAGAGCTCGATCCCGGCTTCCTTCCAGTACAGCCGTATAGCGTACGATATATGTCGTTTCTGTGGCTTTGCGGTGGTCAACAGCACAGACAGAGATGGAAATAATGGCTGATTGTTCTCCGCCGGTAGAACCAATGAAATCAAAGGCGCGCCTCGACCGGCAGACTCATAGGCGTCGGCAACGCATTGGAACGTGTTTCATTGAGCGATCGCATATTGTGTGTTTTTATAAGAATTGTTGTGTGATTGTTATTGTTGTGGTTTCTGTGGTTACTGTTTTGGTTATACTTAACCATGGAGAGTACAAATGGCACGAGTGGAAGTACTGAAAGCCAGGGAACAAGTAGACGGCTTCGTAAAGCACTGAAGAGGGACGCGAAAGAAATCGTGCTCAACGTGTTCAATTATCTGAACAGAACTATGTCGCAGGGAGATGCACTCGCGCGTTGTGAAAGTATGACAGGCGTTCCAGAGTGGACCATTCGCAGGGTGGTGCATGAAAAGAAGAAAACTGGAGCTACTACTGATCCAAAGTTTAATTTGAAGGGACGAAAGGCCGTTAAATTGGATGACGATAGCAAAATGGCGTTAAGGCGAACCGTACATTCTTTCTTCTTTAGGAATGAGATACCAACCCTCAAGGCTGTACATGCAGCGATCAAGGAAAATGAAATTATACCCCAAATGAGCGTCGAGGTAATGAGGAAATCCCTGCACGAAATTAATTTTCGTTACGAAACACGTAATCGGAAGTCAGTATTGATAGAGAGACCTGAAATAGTCGCCTGGCGTCGAAAATACCTACGCGAAATGATTGAATATAGGCGACAAAGCAGAAAAATCTATTATTTGGACGAGACATGGGTAAATGCAGGTCACACAGTTAAGAAAACCTAGATAGACAAAAACGTAGTGAGTAACCGACAAGCAAGCATTGAAGGTTCGTCAACAGGTCTTCGTGGACCGTCAGGGAAAGGACAAAGATTGATCGTAACTCATATTGGTAGCGATACTGGCTTTTTAGAAGAGTGTGACTTGATTTTCGTCTCTAAGAAAGGAGGTGATTACCATGAGGAAATGAATGTCAGCTGCTTCGAGAGCTGGTTTCAAGGGGTGCTTCAGCGAGTTGAGCCCAACTCTGTGATCGTCATGGATAATGCTTCCTACCATAGTCGTCGAGCCGAACGTGTACCGACTATGGGATCTCGAAAAAGTGACATGCAGCAATGGTTGCGCGAAAAAGGAATCCCGTTTGACGATTCATGTGTGAAAGCGGAATTGTATGAAAAAATTAAACAGCACAAACCTGCGAACATTAGTTACGTGACTGATGAGATGGCCCGTCAATGTGGTGTCACTGTGCTGCGGTTACCGCCCTACCACTGTGAACTGAACCCAATAGAGCTCATCTGGGCTCAAGTGAAGGGTTATAATGCGCGCCATAACACAACCTTCAAATTACCAGACGTTAAGGTTTTACTTGAGACTTCCATACAGCTAGTAACGCCCGAAGCTTGGCAGAATGCTAACCGTCATGTTGTGAAGGAAGAAACAAAAATGTGGCAGCTTGACCACCACATCGACACCATCATAGAGCCAGTTATAGTCAATTTCAACGAGGAAAGCGATAGCGACAGTTTATTACTGTCAGATGTAAGTGGAAGCGACGATGAATAAAGGTAATTCCCAAATTTTTAACTTACAATATGTTTCAAACCACTCTTTTTTAAGCATGTGACAAATCTAGTTCACCCATGTTAAACATTCATACCCCGCCTATGAACAGCCGACTACTGGTAGTTAAGTGATGTTCACGTGAACATCGATGAGTGATTACAGTTTTAGATAGTTATAGTATAGACGATGAATAATAGGTGGATGCGGATACTTTTACAAATATCGATGTTTTAGGACCCAGAAATGCAGAATGTGCTGTTTGTTTACATTTGGTGTTGATTTATAGATCATAAATTGGCAAAAATTGTTTTTGATGTAACAAAAGATGATGAATCAGTTGGAATACATTTTATATCCTTTTTTTTGCAAAATAACAAAAATCGGTACATTTCTACAGGTACGTATTATATACAACGCCCTGTACGTGATATACAGACAAAACTAGATTGCCATGCATGAACAGACATCAAAAAGAGTGAAAACATCCTACTAAATATACTAGCTAGAAAATCGACCTATTATTTCTCTCATTTTCATTGGCCCATTTGAATAACTGACAGTCTTTTGTGAAATTATAAAAATTTGAAATTCTATGAAAGTTATCCTAATTCTAAAGCACAAAGACATAATATTACATCTATAATGTACCCTTATTTAGAAGACAACCGTTTTTTCACGACCTTGTTCAACATTTCAATAGAAATCACTGATCTTCAGAGAGCTTTGACAGCTTCCGTCAAATTACATCTCGATAAGGTCTTTTCCTGACCGTCAAATATTCATGTTGGTGAAATTGGCCCTTGATATTGAATTTTATTTTTTAATGTAATTTGAGCTGTTTCTAATACAGGGTCCGTCAAAGGAACCTGACGTTTTCAGAATGGATAGTACGAAGCTGTTTTTTGACGTAGTACATCGGTTACAGTGGGCAAGATATCGGTAGTAGATGCCATTTCAGTAGTCATGGAGCTGTGGACAAGGGAACATCGCGCATTTGTTGTCGAGACGTATTTTAAAAATCACAGCGTCTATTTCGTACACATTTCAATGTCGGACGTCATGGTTGTTCCATGCCGTAACACAATTAAGTTGTGGGTCAAAAATTTTCGTCGATCTGCATCAGCAATGAAAGCTAAGCCAGCAGGAATGCGTCGAACAGTTCGGACTCCAGCCAATATTGAGAGGGTGCGAACAGCGGTGCAGCAAAGTTCACGTCGTTCAGCTAGGCTACAAGCAATTAGTCTAAGGCTTTCAGGAACAACAGTTCGGCGTATTTTGCATAAGGATTTACATTATCACCCTTACAAATTAGCGATGGTTCAAGAACTGACAGCTGAAGACTTTGTGAACCGTTTGACTGCAAGCAACCAGCTTCTGGAACTTTTGGATGAAAACGCTTTAGGTGGCTTAATTATGTCTGATGAGGCGCATTTCGAGTTATTAGGCTACGTAAACAAGCAGAATTTTCGCCACTGGTGTGCAGAAAACCCGAGAGAACTTCACCAGCGATCTCTTTATAGTCGCAAGGTTACTGTTTGGTGCGGAGTGTCGCGATTCGGCATAATTGGACGCTATTTTTTTGAGGACGATGCTGGAAATTCTGTCACGGTCAATTCGCAACGTTATCTGGAAATGTTAAACACATTTTTGGAACCAGAGCTTCGTCGACGGAACATAGATTTAAATACTGTATGGTTTCAGCAAGATGGCGCCACAGCGCATACAGCACGAGCAACAATGGTTCGACTGCGAGAAATGTTGCCAGGAAGAGTCATTTCGCGGAATGGAGATGTTCCTTGGCCGGCAAGGTCTCCCGATCTCACGGCTTGTGACTATTGGTTATGGGGTTATCTCAAAAGCAAGGTATATTTAACGAGCCCAAGGACCATTGAGGAATTGAAGGAAAACATTCGCAATGAAATTAGCGCGATTCCGATGAGTATGGTAATGGGAATGTGCGAAACCGTTTGGAAGAGTGTGTCCGCAGTGAAGGACATCATTTGACCGAAGTTATTTTCCATACATAAAATGGCATTCGATTACTTATACAGGGTGACTTCGAAGTTGAGTCATTTATTTTAACAGTGAGTAGATCTGATTAAAAGAAATGTTTTTTTCCTTTACCATTTTTCTGGTAAAATTAAAGTAACAAAGTTATAGCCCTTTGGAAGTTTGAGTACCGCCCTGTCTCAATAATATCATGTGTTCGTGTTTGGCAACAACGGTTCATCGCATCGGAAACAAAAAAGCGAAAGAATTTGGAACGATGTTTTTACGATTACAATTCAGTTCAGTTATACATACAGTCAGTTTCAGTCGCGTGTGAATAGTGTCTGTTGCGTGGCTCAAACGAAATAAAAAATGGCACATGTTTATGCGGATCGGTTTCCCAATCGAGTGCAACCAACCCCTCGTGCCTTTGTTAATGTAGTACAACGGGCTCGTGAATCAGGTGACTTAAGACCACACAGGGGACTGCATGCCGGTGCTCCAAGACCTCACGATCAAATACAGGTCCGCACTGAAATACTTGTCGGGAGGATACTTTATAAAACAAGGTAAAATTTTTTTTTAATTTTTTTTTATTTTTACGCACATATTTTGGTTTATCTTCCTTCTACAATCATTATCTGAAAATTAATGACTCAACTTCAAAGTCACCCTGTATATGAAAATAAATATCTTGAAAGATACATTTGTAGTTTCATATAGAAACTCATCAGGTTCCTTTGGCGGACCCTGTATAAATAACTACTCACCTCCGTATCTCCCTCGGAACTCGTAGACTTCGACTTACGCCTCGAAGCGCCGTCCGATTCGTCTCTCTCGGGAATCACCGGATACTTCCTGGCGTCGGGAGATGGCGGTAGCGATAACGGCGCGCACTCTGTGATTTCCGATATGGTGGACTGAGACAGGGTGCGTGACGCCTCTGACATGGACGGCGGTCTCGGCTGGTAGAGGCTCTGCGTCACGCTGTCTTTAGACGAAGATTGCGCTACTGAGGCGGGGCCGACTTTCAAGCGGAAAAACTTTGTGCCTTTCGGCAACCTGTATCGGTTCTTAGACTGAAAATAATAAAAATAGGCGTTTCACAACTCGTCGATGGTATTTGCAAAATATTAGCGGCAGCATCTTGAAGCTGGGTTGATTTTACTTGAGAACCGCCACTTAGGTTTACCCAACTAACAATTATCACTCCTATTAGAGTTGCAAGAATGTTTATACAGTATTCCTTACACAGCATTGTATACTGTAAGAACATTGGCAAAACCCTCTTAGAACAGCTATACAAGCGAAATGGGCACACCTAATAGGACACTTCAGTCATTTAAGAGGTTGTATAAGGGCTGCAGGTAACAGTTATACAACAAAAGTGTAAGCCTCTTGCAGCCGCTTTAGGACATTTGCGTCAGTGCAAGATTCAGTTTTTGTCAACTATACAACTATTCTGTTACGTGATTCTACTTTATTGCAACCAAACTATTTCTTATGTATTGTATAGACGAAGTGAATAATATTATAACTAAGACAATACAGTCATCTTGTTTACTTACATATCGGCCATTGTGAATTTCATACACAGGTATATGATAAACTTCTACACTGTGATATAGGGATATTGAATTACTTGCGCAGCAAATTTATTGTGATTATCGTGCAAAGTAGTTACGCAATTTTTACGGGCTTCGTATTTGATTCATATTAATACATAAACATATCAAAACTGAACTTATCTGCGTTAAATCATCCACAAATCCTATATTTAGACACAATTACACTAATGTTTATCACTTTATATCTGTGATTTCGAACTGAAACATAATTATTTAATATCAAATAGAGGAATAAATGTTTGCCCAATATGGCGGGTGGTTGTGTATAATTACGGCATCGTCCATGTTGCCTTTAGTTTATTAGAATATTTTGGTGTTGCCTGCAGGTGTTATACAACAATTTGACAAATGTCTGAAATGAAATACCGACAGAGTCGAATGATTTACCTAGAATTTGTACCAGATCTGTATCTTCAGTTTGAACAGTTGATAAAACCTTTTTAACCAATATGCATGCGTTGTTTGTCTTGAAACATTGGTTATGGCATTTTAACAAGAATATGACAGCAGAAAGTTAGGTTATGGTGAAGTTGTATACCTATCATATTTAGCATATGTACAGCCTTTAACAGTTACTAAACAACAGTTGTATAAGTGCTTCCGTTGGGAGCAGTTTGTTGGCTAAAGTAGTAAATTTGCACGGCAAAACAACAAGGCTCGGGTTTGTTTTATAAACGTTACCATGGATGCGCCACAACACAACCATTTTGACTAACCTGCAAATATGACGTATAAAATAGTTGTATAAACGTTTATATAACAGTTAAAAAGTTGTCCTATAAGGTGTTGGGTAACTATGCTATAAGAATATTTTAAGCACCTCATTTTAGAGCAAATATGTTGCAGAAAGCAAATTTGCATTCCACACAACATTAAGCCAGCATTTTGGTATTCAGGCAACAACAATAGAGAGGTTCTTTTACCAAAAGCTTAAAGCACTACTTTGCTAGTTGGGTAGTGCAATAATGTACCTGAATAAAAAAACAAATTCTAAGAGCCACCGTGGCGTAGGTGTCTATGTCAGGATTTGATTTTTAAATTATAATAAAATAATTACATATATGGATCTCAAGTAGATGAATGGTGTAAATATTAAAAATAAGAAGCCTACGATCTCACCAGAATTACAAATCAATCAAGAACAACTATAGATTTGATAATAACAAAATCAAAATCAGTGATCATTCATGGATATGTTTTGAAGTTGAAAGTATATTTGATGCTAACAAAGTGGAAGAAATTACTAATACTACACCTTGGCTCTCACAGACGTTCAAGGATTCTAAATTAAAAAGAGACAATTATAAAAAAGTTTGTGATTACTGGGAGTGAAAATGATTGGCTAGGATACACAAGATCAAGAAATCAATCTGCAGCAGTTCGATGAAAAGAAAAAATGTGACTATACCAAACTTGATGACAGTAAAAATAATAGCAAACAGATGTCGAAAACATTGAAAAATATTGTTGATCCTATTAGAAGAAATACATTATCTAAAATATATTATATATATATATATATATATAGGTGAAAAATTAAAGCTTCCGCCTTTTGTTGGGTACTTCGACAAAATTTAAGCAAAGAGGACTCTTTATACTTTTTTAATTCTCTCTAGCTTTCAATGGACTTTGCCATCATCATCAGGAGAGTAGTATGTGAGGATGTTGCTAATTGTTGTTTACGTATAGGATGAGGGAAACGTCCAGTAACATTGTGAGAGCTGGATAGATGGTACTTGTTCTTGTCATATTTTATATAATTTTGACCATTGTACCATCTATCCAGCTCTCACCATGTTACTGGACGTTTCCCTCATCCTATACGTAAACAACAATTAGCAACATCCACACATACTACTCTCCTGATGATGATGGCAAAGTCCATTGAAAGCTAGAGAGAATTAAAAAAGTATAAAGAGTCCTCTTTGCTTAAATTTTGTCGAAGTACCCAACAAAAGGCGGAAGCTTTAATTTTTCACCTAACTGGTCTAGACGACAATGACCAAGTCTCAAGTTATATATATATTAATGACATTAATGTAAAATTCAGATATTTGCAGATGATGCATTAATATATGTACATGTCAGCTGAAAATATGCACTGCTTTAAAAATGCCAAATTCTGACGGCAAAAATCATAAATTGGTTAAATGTAAGTAAACTAAAATTGAATGCTTCTAAAACAAAATGAATGCTAAAAGGAAATACCTAAACGAAAGGATAATGCATTTTTACGAAAATAGTGCACTCTAGGAAAAGTACAAGAGTAATTATTTGTAAGAAAATTACACAGTATATCACAAAATATATTATGACTTCAAGACTACATATTTTTATACAAAATTTGACTACTATGAATTCCGGTTTTCCATGAGAGATTTTTCAATTTCCCTTTGAACATTTTCAAACTGACACACATCTTGATATAATTACTTAATTTATTAAATTCGTACAATCCCTTTTGAAATACTGATAGGCTATGAGAAATTCTATAAAAGTAATTTATTTTCTTGGATATTTTTGAAATAATATATTCATAGTGCCCTTCAAATCTTAATTTACTGTCTACGTATATGCCCAAATACTTAAATGATTCGATTGACACAATTTTTTCATGATTAATTGTAAGATTTATCGTATTTTGATCTAAAGATTTTCCTATTAGCATATATTTTGTTTTGTTTGTGTTTAGTTTAAGCTTATTTACATTTTTACCAATTTATTACGTTTTTCACATCATTATTTAACAGCTCTATTGCAGTTTCAATGTTTTTATTTGATGTATATATATATATATATATATGTGAAAAATTAAAGCTTCCGCCTTTTGTTGGGTACTTCGACAAAATTTAAGCAAAGAGGACTCTTTATACTTTTTTTAATTCTCTCTAGCTTTCAATGGACTTTGCCATCATCATCAGGAGCTGCAATTACAATGATAACAGCAGCAACAAAAGTGTAAAATGAATTTAAATTGAATCAAATTACAGTAGTATGTGAGGATGTTGCTAATTGTTGTTTTCGTATAGGATGAGGGAAACGTCCAGTAACATGGTGAGAGCTGGATACATGGTACAATGGTTAAAATTATATAAAATATGACAAGACAAGTTAAAGACAGATTAAACATTTTGTACAATCATCAAGTGGCTTCACGACGCAATTCTCTAATGTTTTCTAAATAATTTTGTGACTTAAGACCTCACAGGGGAGGGCATGCCGGTGCTCCAAGACTGTACGAACAAATACAGGTCCGCACTGAAATATTTGTCGGGAGGATACTTTATAAAACAAGGTAACATTTTTTTTTTTATTTTTACACACATATTTTGGTTTATCTTCCTTCTACAATCATTATCTGAAAATTACTGACTCAATATATATATATATATATATATATATATATATATATATATTAATGTATCATCAGCAAATAGTTGAATTTTTGCAGTGTTGTAAAATATCAGGAATATCGTTAATATATAAAATAAATAGTAATGGATCGAATTTGCTACCCTGTGGCACACCTACCGAAATGTTTTTAATGTTTAATAATGTATATAACTTCTCCCTGTCAATAGTCTCAAATGCTCACTTGAAATCTAAGAACAATGTTACTATAAACTTTTTTTCATCCATATTTCGCCTCCATTCTTCTACTACCATTTGAATTGCTGCTTCAGTAGAATACTTTTTTCTGAATTCTGCTTGAAATTTGCTCGCACAGCCTGCTAAAAAGCTCGAGTTGTTCATGTCACTTACCTTCCTAGCATGGCAGTACTCTCTATCTAGCACCACTCCGAGGCAGTACGACTTGTTAGGCGTCCCGTCCACGACTGCTAACCCCAGCGCATCGAGCGATTCAGTATTCAGGAAGTACATATGCCTGTTCTCCTGCGCGATACGAAAACTCTGATGGTTCGGATCCCAGACCACCAGAACCAGGTCGCCAATAAGACACTGGTTGACGCTGGCACGAATCGTAGGACGTGAAGAGGATACCGACGTTGACATGGTGGTCGTTGAGGCAGTAACGATGTCGCTGCCGACGCCCGAGGAAGTTGAAGCTGACGAGGTTGAGGGCAGGTGTCGGATTGGACTGGTTTGGACGTCGGCTATGGTATCAAAGAATATAATTAACGAGTTTTTTAACAGAAGGCAGGACGACGATTTGGCGCTGACAGTATTCCGACAATAGCGCAGAAAAGTAGGTGCATTTCTTTAGACAAAAAGCCTCCGAACGAGCAATATTTTTATTGCAAATTCTGGCAATAACAGATTGCAGCTATATACAGGATGGCCCAATATTCCGTGAACTTAGAAGTACCGCGTATTTTTAGTTACAAAATGAGTCGATTGGACATGATAGTAGGGTGGTCTGAACAGTGTCCGACCTCAACGTGAAGATGGCAGCACTCGTGAATAAAACCTAGTGAATTTCATTGTTATCTTTCACAGTTATTCGCCAAAGTTTCAGCCACTTTGGACGCGCAGTTGTTTGAGTGAGTTGATGTGTTTTTGTGAAAATGTACAAAATCGAGTATCGATATCACATATTTGCTTTTGAAAGGCAATACGCCTACGCAAATCAAAGATGAGTTGGATTCTGGACTCTTCACCATCATTTACCACAGTGAAATTTTGGGCAAATGAAGTGGCAATTACCTTTGTGAACAATTATTTTGCAGAGATGGGAGCATCGCTGGGACAAGTGTATGGTCAAGGAGACTATGTTGAAAAATAAAAACAATCAGAAAAAATGTCTTGTATCTTTGTTAGGTCGGAAACTTTTCAGACCATCCTCGTACACCTCTATAGTAAAGTGCTCCGTTTGTACGTTAGACGGCCATGTCCAATCGACTTATCTTTAGTCTAAAAATATATGGTATACTTTATCTGAAGTCACTTGAAACACTGTGAAATACCGGGTGCGTTTTATATATCTATATTTAAAACGCTCTGTTGCTGCAAAAATCGCCAAATTTCGCAGCAAATATAAGAGATCAAAGGCAGTTTCACCGGTCCACGTGGAGTAAAGCGCGCCTATGCGTGGACATAGCCAATGAGAAAGCGTGTATTTCAGAGCTCGGAACAAGTGCAGGTGGCTACTGAAAATTGAAACAGTTTAGCCAGTGCCGTGTAGCGGTGAATAAACGTGTTTTCTTTAGTCTGTCCGTGTTTTTTCGTAGATTTTATTAGTTTGTGTGTTTTTGATTTTTGAATACTCAGTTTACTTGTTGATTTAATTGTTGTGTTGATTGTTCTTGTGTGTCCTAAATATGGCCCTTTGGAGACCTTGGGAAAATGCTCCAAGCCACGAGGAGATGGTTGATGAACCTGTGCAGGCAGAATTCATTCATAAAGATTTAGAGGAACAGACCCAAAGAGTAATCCTAAATATGTATGATTGTCTGAAAAACGAAAATCCAGATTCCTCGCAAAATCAAATTTTAAACAGAATTTGTATCCTGACAAAAATCAGTCGGTCTACCATTTATCGGGTTATAAAAAGGGGAGATGTAGTCAACCATTCCTTCCACAGAAAGCGCATAGGGCAAAAATTAAAAAGAATAGACGTGGGTTTTCAGGAAGATATTCGTCGTATAATATACGGATTTTATAAAGAAAATTTGGTGCCCACGTTGGAAATGATACGGGATAAATTAAAAGATTATCCTGAAGATTTTTATAATTACAAATGCTTAGACTCACTGCACTGTATTGTAAAACTGTGTGGTTTTCAATACAAAAAATTAGATAAAACAATGGTGATTATGGAGTCGTCTCGAATCGTTGAATTGCGCCAAGAATTTTTGCACAAAGTTAAAATCTATAGAGAGCAGAAAAGAAATCTGATTTAACTGGATGAAACATGGTATGATACCCATGATGTTGTGCAGTACGGCTGGGTTGACGACAGCAACAAGTGCATTTTAAATGCACCATGCAACCGTGGAAAACGAATCATTATTCTCCATGCTGGCAGTGAAAATGGATTTATACCTAATGCCTTGCTGTTATCTGCCAAAAATATCAAAGAATCATGTGCCGACTATTATGAGGACATGACCTCCGACTTATTTGAAAAGTGGATAGAGCAGCAGTTAATACCAAACATTTCCCCAAATTCAGTGATTATTATGGACAATGCGCCATACCATTCCCGACAGAAAAACAAAATTCCGAATACAGGCACAAAAAAACATGACATTATTGATTTTATGAAGGATAAGGGAATGGAAATACCACAAAAATCAACCAAAGCCATATTATTGGATCTTATTAAAAGACAAAAATTTGAAAAAGAGTATGTTGTTGACAATCTGCTTCAGCAAAATGGCCATGAAGTATTACGTCTACCTCCCTATTACTGCATTTTTAACCCGATTGAGTTGGTCTGGGCTGCTTTAAAAAAAAAAGTAAGAAAACATAATCAGACCCCTCAATTAAGTGAATCGCTATTGGCCACAATAAGAGGTGCAGTATCTCATATTGCTGCCACAGACCTATAGAAGCAGTGTTCTAGGCATATTATTGAAAAAGAAAATGAATATTGTGTTTTGCCTCCTGTAAATCCCGTTGTAATTCCTCTACAAGATGACTCTAGCGACAGCTCCGAAGGCGAGGATGATATATAAATACCTATAATGTAAGTCTTTATATACCTTTTTATATTCCTACCTGCTATGTAAATATTTGCCTATGTCAAACGTTGGAATTCTGTAATTTTTCCATTTCTTAACTTTCAGTCAACATAAATTAAACTCCCAATATAAGTATTTTTTATCCCAAATCAAAAAAATAAGAAGATAGTAAAATCCATTTATTGTGATATAAAAACATTATTATTATCGTTCTAAATAAATGACCGCACGCCTATGAAATTACAAAGGACGCGCCGACCAAAGGTTTTTATGCTATTTCAAGAGACTTCAGATAAAGTATACTTCTATGTCCGCTTAATAGTGGGGCACCATGTATATGTATATCTCGGCAATATTACCTGCAATATGTAGACATATACACTAGTCAGAATTAGCCATTAGACGAGCTACAAAATCGGGCAAGAATGGCAAGAACGGAATTGTATGCGTTGCGACATTACATTACTTAGAACAAATTACATTAATGCCCGGTTATACCACCATTAAAGAAAATATGAATTAGTTAAATGTTGTTAAGAAACTGAAATTAAAGACTAATAAAACAAAATGTATGTCAATAGGCAAACAATAAGGTGACAATCCAATTAGGCTCGTAATTAATGATGAAAACCTTGAAATTGAATCATTCAAATATCTGGGTACATATGTGGATAGTAAATTACTGTTTTCAGAGCATTATGAATATACGTACATTATTTCAAGAATATCAAAACAGATAAGTTACTTTTTTAGAGTTTCTCATAATCTCAGTATGTATTAAAATACAGCAGACGCTCGATAACGTAAACACGGGATAATGAAAACTTGCGCTAATGTAAACACAAACTTCGTTCTATAGGATCAAACGGAACGCGCGATAACGTAAACAATGTGTACGCTCGATAACGTAAACAACTCTCGGCGCACGGAAACAGCGCGACGGTAAAATGCTGAAGCCTCGATGATTTATGTCGGGCGTCGGGGAGTCCCCGATTTATGATGTAGAGTGTAGGGGATTCACCTCTGCGATAAAATACGACAAACTCGGTCAGTCGTATGATCGTTTAGGATACGTTTATACGTACGTATGTATTTCATTTTTGAGCTTAAGTGAATACATTGCACGCGTTAATATATTTTACGACTATGGCATCCACATCCTATAAAAGAAAGTGTTTAAAGTTGAGTGAGAAAGTGTAAATCATAGACGAAGTTGCACTAGGTGCGGGAGTGACACAGTTAGCAAAAAAATATAGAGTATCGAAAGCAACAATCTGTAAAATTAAGCGTATGAAAACTCAAATTTTACAAAGAACGTGCAATACATTTGGAGCTCCGGGAAAAAGAAAAACTTAAAAAAATGCGAAGGCACCTAAAATGGAAAATTCCCTGTATAAGTGGTTTTTAAAACAACGGGAAAATCATGTCCCAGTTAGTGGCGAAGTACTTAAACAGAGAGCGAGACTGTTAAATGAAAAACTGAAAGAAACTGAAAATTTCGTAGCTAGTGATGGCTGGCTACAACTATTCAAAACAAGATATGGAATTCGACTGCTGTCTATATCTGGTGAAAAATTATCAGCACAACCACAATTAGTGCAACCATTCAAAGAAAAATTGATGAAAACAATTACCGAGCTAGATTTAAGAATGGAACAAATTTACAACGCAGATGAAAGTGGCCTTTATTGGAAAATGTTACCAGAGAAAACCTACGCTGCATCATTTGAAAAATCTGTCCCGGGAAGAAAGCCGGAGAAACAACGAATAACGTTTCTAGCCTGCACTAATGCTAATGGTTCACACAAAATAAAGCCACTGGTAATTGGGAAAGCAAAAAATCCGCGCTCATTTAAAAATGTTAATATCCCTGTTGATTATGACTGTTCAAAAACCGCTTGGATGACTAGCAGTATATTCCTGAAATGGTTCCACAGGTGCTTTGTCCATCAGGTATGACAATCAATTATCACAAATGCTCTATTCATAATTTGAAGATGTGTTTTCAATTTGTAGGTAAAAGGTTTCCTAAAACAACAGAAGCTTCCAATAAAAGCGTTGTTACTATTGGATAATGCACCAAGTCATCCTCCCGAGCAACAACTGAGGAGCAGGGATGGGTCAATTTTCGTCATGTACATGCCGCCCAACGTAACACCGTTAATTCAAACGATGGACCAGAATATAATAAGACTCACCAAACTATACTATAGGAAGTTTCTACTTTCGTCTGTCTTATCAAAGAATCCTGAAAACTTATCTGAGGCTTTAAAAAAAGTAACATTACGAGAAGCTGTTTTAGATTTACATATGGCCTGGAATGAACTTAACCAGCAAACTATTCAAAAATGTTGGAACAATCTCTTTTGTACCAATAATGAAGAAGACGATGTCCCCTTAAGCGTAATTAGAGAACGTTTGCGATCCAATAATGATAATGTTATTAGTGTGTCATTGGATGTTGTTGATTTATTGAAAACAGTGAATCCCAACATTGTTTGTACTCCTGCTGATATTAATTTATGGAACGAAGATAAGCAGACGAATGATGCTGATAAGGAGGAGGATATGGACAGTGAGGATGATGAGAACGATCCCATTGAAGTCAGAAGTGTAGTGACTGACGCGCAAGCTATACAAGTTTTCAACCAAGCTTTAGATTGGGCTGAAAGAAAAGAAGTTTCATACACGGATATTTTAGTTCTTCGTA